GACCATTAGACTTATGGAAGTCCAAAGAGACGTTTCTCCAAATGAATATATCTACAATTACAATGTTCTATTTGTAATCAGTCTGCACACTTATATATTACCATTTTCTTCTCAACTCATAAAATTACTGAAACATGTTTGGATGTATGTAGACAAATTAACATGACCACAGTTTTCTGACAAGATTTCAACTTTAAAAACTGAGTTACTAACAGGTAAAAAAGATCATGGTCTGCTTTTGGGGTTAAACAAATTCTGTTTCAAAAACATAGCCTCTGCCCTAATATTTTAGAGCTGTAATGTGATAAAAGTCACTTCATAAATACAAGTATTTGGTTACCACAGTACTGGTCTTGATATTACAATTCTATATTTATCAGTCATATTAAGGTGTCATTAATGAAGGGATCAAAAGTTAACCCTGAAATTCAAATATTCTATAGTCTAATTGTAGTATAATGCAGAATAGCTCATATGCACTATTGATTTCTGTTTTCATTAGGTATAATAGATTATGCTTAAACGTTAAAGTAATCCTCTACCACATATGTTCAGTATGTCAGATATTGCACCTGTTTCTTTCACTAATAATCCTGCAATGGCAGTATCAGTCTCTGTTACATTCTACAATCCTATTTCTTAATCAGGTTTGTACATAACCCACCATATATAAAGAAACCTCCCGGTGAGTGTTAACGGCTGACAGCATGCTCACATACTCACTGTGTACATACACTGGTAAACATTAAGGGTACTGAATAATGCCATGATGTAATTCAGAAGGGAAATATTTTCCAAGTCCAATGTCATCTGTATTTTTGTGACACAAAAAAACATGTAAAAATGCAAACTGTGTACTGATGAACAACACAACCAAAAGCATCTGGTAATGCATCATGTTATTTAATTTTATTGATATATTCAGGTACTGTTATTGAGTATATCAACAATATGGTATCATTAGTGGTTTGGCTTTTCCAACAGCAGAAGGTACAAAGTTAAAACAGATGAGCAGTAAGCAGAGACTTCTTAGGCTGTGCTCTTATTGAACGCAGTGCAGAAGTGGTGCAGGTGCTGCCAGGAACCCAGATCATTCAAATCAGTGTGCCCACCCTGGTGAATTTTCAGAATAAACACAGTGATCTATCTACCATCCCACACTATTTTGTTTGGGGAAAATAAGAAGGCCTTTATCTGTACAGATACGTTTTGCCTGATAACTCTGGGAAAGAATATAAACTCATATGAACTTTTCTTCTTTTGAGCGCCATTTGAATCTTGAATCGCAGCAGTGGCAGCCTGTGGTCAATGTGAGTCTCTTATTGTGTCTTATTGCTGCACGCCTGCACCGCAGCTGCACCATGATGACTGTGAGTCCAGTGCTTGGCTGGATATTTTCAGACATTTAATTCAGTCTTTTTTAGTCAACAGCCTCTCACTTCAGATAACAATCCATTCGCCGATTGCGTTCTAGAAGCTCTTCATGAGGCAGTGGCACAGATTAAGCCCTGAATTGAATTAATACATATCAAATGAGCCCTGTAAGTCTATTCCTGTGCTATTTTCCTTGTGTCTGTTCTCCATCTCACTTTCCAAAGCAGTAAAGAAGGTGTAGCATATAATTTGTATGAAATGGCCTAAAATGCTTGCAACTAAGACTATGCTTTTAATACGCATATTGATGTGCCAGTCATTACAATGATTAGCATATCAAGGCTAAGGCTTTGTCTGAATGTCTGCCCTAACCCCTAAATCCCTTAATCACTATATGGAGCTGGGACTATATAGTAGACTTTACAGTAAACTCAGTTAACTGACTGTTCGGACAGGTGATCATTGCTTTTAGCTCCCCGTTGGTCATGTAACTCCACCTCCCTGCACTCTGCCTGTGGCTTCTTTGTTATTTGTTGGCGCTGTTGGGTTGCGACAGCCATAGGCGACAATGAGGCGCTGTGACAACAAATCCCATGACCCTTAAGAGGAAATTTTCTCGCAAAGTATCCAGGATATATCTGCTCATGTAGAGACCATAGATGATCACTACTTTTCAAGATGCAATGTGGGAAATTTCAAGTCCACTAATTTTTCATCCACTAGACATTCAGACACTCATCTAAAACGGCGTAACCACTATACGGTGCCCTATATGGTGGTAAGGGTGGCTTTCGGACATAGCCTAAGTCTCCACTGTATTATTTGACCCACTAGCTAAACCTGGAGATGAATACAGTATTTTGTTTGTACTTGAAAGAATTACTGTCCTCTTAAATAGACATCTCAGCAGGGACACTACAGAAAGTCAGAATTACAAGTTGGAAAGTCGGAGCAACTGGACCTTATTTCCACTTGAATCAACGGCAGTGAAACTCTTTTTAGCGGTTCTTTATAATTTTCTCAACATTTCGTCAGCTGTACCCATACAACTTTTTAGAGTTAATAAGTAAAGATGTGGCAATATTGTTTATGTCAGGTATTTGTAAGTTTTATTATTGTAACAGTGGCCTGAGTGGCCATATACAGTACAAACAATGAAGAGAACAAATATCCACATAAGGGAAACTGGATCAAAATCTCCTAAGAGATAAAGTCAATACAACTTTCCAGTTCTGTGGTAATTGGAACGCATCAGTAGGTTTTTGGTTAGCATATTGATGCTAATAACTATCACACTTTTTTGATTATTCACAGGATTATTAGCTAAGTTTCAAGTTCTCATGAATAGGTTTTGCCTTATATGAGGTTGCTAAAGACCAGAATGTTTTGGCTTATGAAGCCTTGGAATACTCCTACTGGTTTGACATTAGCATAAACCAGGTGATGTTAATGTACTTTAACCACACACAATGTGGGATTTACAATTAGACTAAAAGTCAAAGTCAATAAAACTCATATCGTGAAAAGCCAAGCCGCACAGTTAGCTGCCATGTTGTATTCTGAGGCTGAACTCTCTTAAATCTTCCACATGCTAAAGAAACTACTCTTAACCAACAAGTACAGTATATATTACCTGCTGTCTGCTTTATGGTCTAACTTTGTACCTATTACAATAGGATTTTAGGTGGTTTTCCCAGGAGTTAATCTCTGCAACTCTGTACATGTTAATATCTGCTTAAGTGTGTTGCTGTAAAGGTAGCGATAGGTGGTGAAGATTTTACAGACAATGAATTTTCACTGTAATTGTACTTTTCCTCTGTCATGAGCCCTCGAAGAGGTTCATGGAACACACGTTAACCTTGTTTAAGTGGCTGTTATAATAAAACCACCCTATTGTACTTCTGTAGCATTGTCTTAAAAAGCAATGTAACCTCTTCTTGCTGCATTCTCATCCCCAGCAAACTTTTAAAGACTGCTTCATCTGAAATACTATCAAAGTCAAGAGTTTTTAGAAGAAAACTACAAAATTAAATAAGAATGTCTGCAGTATAACTAATAATCAGAGACATCACGGGCAAAACATGGGAAACGGCTTATTTTTGTGTATTCATTGAAAATCAGTACTGAATATGGAGCTCAAAAAGGCATGAAACCCAAGATCTTTCATCTTTCAAACCAGCTGTAACTCCTGCTGCTATATTGCAATCTACACTGAAGAATTATTTCATATTTAGATTGTTCGGCAGGTCAAAATAATAAAAAAACAAACAAACATTCGAGCAGAAGAGTCGGGAAAACAATCGGATTTTTGCTCTTGCTTTAGCAAGATGCAAACTAAAATGTGAAATACTTTTCAAATACCCAAATCTGAAGCCAAGCAGCTGGCGTTGAAGAGATACAAAGGGTGGAGTATCCCCTTAGGTTAAGAACAGCTGTGCTTAGGTCCTGAATTTTTCTTCAACAATACCATTGATGGTCTTACTCACACCTGAACTGAGAAAAGTTTATAGCTGAGATTAATTTTAATATCTTGGCTCCATTTGAAAAAGGTCTGAGAGGCATTATGTGTGCCATGTTTAACATGCAAAATAACAGAAGCGTGTTGTTTAAATGTCTTCATTCCAATAAAAAGTGATGATTCCTTAAACTGCTGCATTGTCTTTCTTTTAAACAGGAAGATTTCAAAGTTCACTTACTGTGCTCAGATTTTTTTAGGTCAACAAAACAGAAAAGAACACTAAATTGTTGGTTTGAAAATCTCAACATTACTGTGTGGTATGGAGGCTGCAGCTCCGCAGACTAGAAGAAAGTGAGAAGAGAGGTGAGAACAGCAGAGATGATCATCTGGGCTCCTCTTCCCTCCATTAAAGACATATATACCAGTGCTGCGTGTCCCAAGCCCGTAACATTATCAATGACCCCACACAGCCCCACCATGGACTGTTCTCCATACTGTCCTCTGGGAAGAGGCTTTGCAGATTCTGATACAGCTTCTTCCCCACTGCCATCGGACAGCTGAACTGTTGACAAAACTCTAAATCATGTTTTTTCCCCAGCTTTTATTGTCATTACACTGTCACAAGTACAGAGCAATGAAATTAACTCTGGATTTAACCCATCCCCTTGGGGAGCAGTAGGCTTCCATTGTGCGGCGCCTGGGGAGCAGTGTGGGGTTAAGAGGCTTTGCTCAGGAACCCAGAGCAGCAGTCTGTGGGAGTGGGGCTTGAACTCAGAACCTCTGGATTCTGAGCTCTAAGCTCTATGCCTTAATCACTAGGCTGCTAAATGCAAAAATCAAATATTGCATATTTGCATCTATATGTATTAATGCTGAACTTCAATATCAATGCGTTTTGGCACTATGTGTTTTCTCCAACAGTGTTCACATTTGACCCTGCTGCACTTTATGGAATGGAAATGTTATGAAAGCTGTACAAGTGTCAGTTTATAATGCAATCAGTTGTTCAATCAAATCACATAAGTCATATATATTCGGAAATTTAAAAAAAAAAATAATCAGATTTCACAAAAAAAAAAAAAAATCCGTCTTCAACAGCTGCCTGAACAACATGGGGCGCTATTGCCCCAGTTTCTCCTTTGTCATTGGACGGACGTCGCACGTGACGCCATGACGCACGCCTGACTTCCGGTGTCGTGGTAGATTGACTGTATTCATGTATTTTAATCCAGACTCGGCTCGGTTTCCAGCAGATTAAAGTGGGAAAAACACGATTCTGACGAGTAGAGCAGAACCCTGAACGTAACGGAAAGTTTTCTGAATACCCGGAAAACCTTGGTAAGATTTAGGTGGCTGCTTGTTTACATGTGAAAACGGAACTTAATTCAATTGTTCGCATAATTTAACAATAATCTATTTTTTTTTTACGTCACTTTAAGCACTGACATGAAACATATATTAACACAAGCGGTTCTTTTCTATTAATAAATCGGCTGACAGACTCAGTTTGTACAGATTTTATTTAATTCGTAATGGATTCAGTGTTTCAGATGGAGAAGGTGGAGCAATTCTCATGAAAATGAATATTGGTTCTAAAAGCAAGAAAAGGCTGGTTCTACCGAGCCGACCTGAGCTCCCCACTATGGATGAGATCCTGGAAGACATCAACAAAGCTGCTCCTGATGATCCAGTTTTTAACATCCTTGATACAACTGAACAAGGTGGGTCCACACAGAAGACATTAATTAATCCATGTCTCCATCTGCCATTATTCTATCATTGCCATCAAACAACTATGTGTTCAAATGAATGTGCTTGTTAAAGATAGGCTATGTGTCTGCACCTTGAAGCTCTATCTTTCCAGCTCTTTTCCCTGAAAAGAGATCACTCTGGACCAAGGGCGTAGGTTTGGGCAGGGACACTACTTGTCTTAAGTTGCATTGGTCTGATGTCATTGATCCTACGCATTATGCATGCTCCTATTTTTTTTTTTTTATGCTTGACATGAGCATCAGGGTACATTTTGTTTAAAGAGAAAACAGCATTTTTTGCTACATTTATACAAATTTTATAAGCACTACACACAATGCTGCTTATCAATGTTTGAGGCATCAGTGGCTCAGAATAATGTAAAATTGGGACAACTTAACACTTTGAAAAGGGTTACATTTGAACTTACCAGTGACTAAGGGGGAAGGTAAATATGTGCCTTTTTAACCAAGTCTAGTCTAAATATGTCTGTTATATGTGTATTTATCCTGTGTTTTCTTTTGAAGAAATAGAATTATGCAGAGGTAAAACCTACTCTTATTATTTTTATCTGATATATTGATAATTCGGGCTGTTCAGTGAGGCAGTGGGTAGCACTGCTGCCTTGCAGAAAGAAGGTTCTGGGTTCGATTCCCGGCCTGGGGTCTTTCTGCATGGAGTTTGCATGTTCTCCTCTCATGCGTGGGTTCTCTCCGGGTACTCCGGCTTCCTCCCACAGTCCAAAACATGACTGTTAGGTTAATTGACTTGTCTAAATTCTTCTTAGGTGTGTGTGTGTGAATGGTTGTTTGTCCTGTTTGTCTCTGTGTTGCCCTGGCGACCTGTCCAGGGTGTAGCCCGCCTCTCGCCCATTGACAGCTGGAGATAGGCACCAGCACCCCTCGCGACCCCACTCGGGACAAGCATGTCAGATAATGATGAATGGATGGATGCTGATATTCTCTGTATTGTAAAACAAAACAAAATAACATATTCAAGGGACTGTAAATAGATGTGTTGTATTTACATGGGCGCGGGAACTATAAGAGGAACTGACACTGAGCATTTAAAATATTAACTTTAATAAATAAGTAGTAAGAAAAGAAGCAACTGCTGCAACAACACTGTATTGTAAATTATAAACAAAATTTTGGTAGGGTCATGTCCCTATGGTCCCTATGCAAACCTACGCCCATGCTCGGGACAAACTCTTTAAATAACACTTTATAACTTAAATGTATTAAATAACCAGGAGACATGACAACAGATTCTGATAGAAATTGTAACCTTACTCAGGTCAAAGAAATTGCTTATAATATGCAGAATGGCAGCTGCTCACCTCTCAGGAAGTGGCCCCAATTAACACTTAAAAAGGCATTTTATACATCTCCAGTCTGCCACATCATCATATTTTACATCATACACATTAGCAGATGATTAGACATCCGTAGCTCCAGCCTTTTCAAAATAATACACTGTGTTCTTAGCTGAAGGACACCGCTCTCATTCTATTTCCAAATCTTTGCCACGTATAGAATGAAGATTATAACTGTATATCCGGACAGAGGAACTGTTTTAATTAGATTAAAATGTCAGTTCTGACGTGCAGCAGGCAGCCAATACCAAGGTGTAATAAACTCACACATCTGCAATGATAATTATCCTAACAAACAAACCCATTAATGTCTGCTCATGACTAGGATATTAATCATAGAAGAACATATTTAGGGACAGGAATTTTATTTGTATAGCACAATTTAGTACAAAACACTTTAAATACTATAAAGTGCCCTATATAGTGATTAAGGATGAAGTTCAGACACATTCAGAGGTTAAAGTGAAAATCCTGTATAAATGCACTCTGAACAGACTTTCAAGGTCATGAAAAAAACAGAAACCCTGGAGTAAAAATCTACATGCTTGTTTTTCATGCAAAGGAAAATAATAGTAGTATGAAAAAAAAATTATTATTTGATAATAATTGCAGTTTAGCTTTTTGGCAAAGGTGTTCAGCCCTAAGCAAACCAATGAAAAACATAAATTGTTCTTATAATTGATTTTTCCATCCTTTAACCTGCTCACCTATTTTTGGACCTTCTGTGTTCAGATTCATCCCAGCCTGCAGACAGTGAGGCGGAGCTGCGTTTCCAGCAGTGTTATCGGTATTTAGAGCTGAACAAGAGACTGAAGGAAGCTCAGGACCAGTTGCAGAAAAGGAGAGAAGAGCTCCAGGCGGCGGGTGAACAGCTGGACAGAACTGTGGAAGAGGTTAAAGGTCAAGTTTGCTGACCTAACACTCGACACCTCCTCTTTCAGTGACTCTGCCTCTGTTCACTGAACTCTTCCCCTGGAAACCCTGACAGAGCTCAGACCTGGGACTTTGAGTCAGATGGAGTCGGATGACCTTTGACCTCACATCTTGAACATTTGCATTATCCCCAATCATTTCTGAGAGTTACTACTTTGTGATGCTTTAAAGTCAGTAGTGCACATTATAAAAGAGCAAGTGGGAAATCGGCATTACAAGTAAATCTTGGAACACTAAGAGAAGGAAATAAAAAAAATCATTTATTTAAAAAAAGGAATATTTGTTTTATTTTGTCTACATTGTTTTTCATGTATGTGAAAAACTTTATTCTTAATATTTTAATGATTAGATTAAAAGCATAAAGCAGTGCACATATAATGAATTAATTCTAACAAAATCATAGTAATTAAACAAAAACTATGAAACTTAGTAGAAATAAACTGCATGATGTCTCTATGCTAGTCTTTACTTGTTTAATATCAATTTTCATGTCCTTGATTATTTGAAGCATTTATGTTTTTATTTTTCATTAATCTACTGATCTGAGAACAAGAAAACAAAAGGTGGATCCCATAGTTCATTCTGGAGTTTACAAACAATATTTGATGAAAGTTCATAAACCGGACATTAAAACACAATTAAGGTAAATCAACAGAAAAAGGTAATGTGTTTTTTAAGCACCATTTGTACAAAACTGACAATCATATTTTTGAGGTATAAACATCTGCAGAGAATACCTTTTAGATAAAAAAAAAAAAAAAATCTGTATTAGTAAAGCTACACCTCCCAGATCACCATCTGTTTGTCTCGAGAAGTGGTTTTGTATGCATGAGTTTAACCTTCTATATTAGTTGATAATACAAAAAAATATATTTATCCTTAACAGTTTAGGCTTGCATTAAATGCTTCTGGACATATCTGGACAGTCCTATTTTCTGCTCTTCCTCTAACTCTCTCCACACAGTAGATGGTGCTGTTGCAGAGACCTGAGACATCCTGCACCAAACTTTTTATGCTGTGGGACGAAAATCTCCGAGCTGAAAGGACTCTGCCGTCTTTTTTTGTTTATGCAATGAAAAAAACAAGAGTTTAATTGTGATTTATTTTTACTTGCTCAACCATGAATTAAACTTACAATATTTTTATGGAATAAAAAAATAAAAACAAATTATTGTAGGTCTGATAGTTTTTTTTTTTTTTATCTATCCTATAGATCTAGACAAGGGATCTTCAGAGTTTTTCTATGCGCTACCCCCAGATCAATGGTGCAACTCTTGGATGTGTTTTTGGGGTGACTGAGACTTTCTAACAGCTTGTTAATGGTGTGCTAATGATAACGATTCTATGGTGAGCAAAATATATCAATAATTCCACATATTAATCTGTAATTCACACACACATTAGCATTTTTTCTGAAAACTTCCACAAACCCCTCCTACAGTACTTTTGCTACCCCCTTATTGAACAGCTCTACCCTAGAAGATGATTTTAATTCATTTATAGCAGAAAAATTTGAATGTTTACTGGTCTTAGAAGAGTTAAATGAATGTCCATTTTACTATCTAAATCAAAAGCAAAAAGAAAAAAATGGCTAAAAATAAAAAGATTTGTGTTGTGCTTACATTTTCCATTCAAGGGGATATAAATTTGTAATCGGAAATCTGATCTTAATATTACAAAATGCGTCCATGTGGATTAGGTTGATTTGGTTTAGGGCCAGACTTAAAGTATTCTTCAACTCCAGACGTTATTCAAAGGACAGCAAATAAACCATGCATGATAAGGAAAGAAATTGTTTATTAATGATGAAATTCACCACATTTCAGAATTGCAAAGGAGAAAAACAGGTATGCAACGTGAACTTGTTTGTTTTTATGTGGGTGAAGTGGAACTGAAGGTCAGAATTAGATTTATCTTCCCATGTCTTGAAGTTGTTCTGGCATACAGCTCCTGGATTAGACAGCAGCTGTCAACATCTGTCAGCGCAGGTTACATGGATCAAGTGTTTCAGGAGTTGAACATCTTAAGACAACAAATCGGCTCCAAATCTCAAATCCAAGAAAGTTAAAAGAGATTCCCCTTTTCTACAGAAATATGACCCTTTAACAGAGTCTTTGTGACATAAGGAGCACTTTTTGATTGGATCATTCAGGACGAAGGGTAAAAACGTCACTCTCTCATCCTCTTCCTCACAGAGCCTCCTCTTCTTCTGCTGCTATCTGACTGACAACAAAACACAAACAAAACGTGAGTTATTCTCTGGGCATTTAAAAATTGTCATGTGAAACATTTGGCTGATAAACATGAGCTTCAGAAAAAGAGATGGGGCCAATGAAGGTTCTTAAGTGCAGGCAAAGAGTGAAACTACAACATTTTACAATAAGAGCAACTTAAGTGACACAAATATTCACAGTGGAAAAAATAATTCCCCTTCAGACTACCCTCAGTCAGGTCCTGGCAGGGATTCTGGTCCTAAAAGGTTTCTATCAGCAGCTAGCAGAGACCATTTTAGCCACCAGGGCTGTTTTCCCACATGAAATCTTCCTTCAGGGAGATCCAGAAAACTAAAACCATGGCATGTTTAGGGAACATTAAGAGTAACTGGTAATGTTAGAGGAAACTTCCTGTTCTCTTCTGGTTTATTTTAACAATGTTCTATCAGTCACATATGGTATGCTTATTTATAGACCCTTGTTAGCCCAATTAGAAAAAAACAAAAAATGGTGTTTATGTGGAGAAAAAGCTTTCCTAATTAAGCAAAAAATAAAACAAAAGAATAGTTGAATATAACTCCACCAGTTCACATTATTAAAGCCCCTCCCCTATTAAAATCCCTCTGATTACTGCTATAGGCTATAAAAATATCACTTTCATGGTTTAATTTTTAACCAAAACATTTTCAAAATAGTTCCCTTTTGGATTATTACCAAGTTAAGTTGCCCAAAGAAATAAATGATGCATGCTAAAACTGTATAGTTTATGTTTTAAAAACCTATTAATATTTGTTATTTAGAGATGATTCATCCATTTCATAAAAAATATTAAAAAATGTCAAGGGTGTGCTATTAGACTGTTTATTGGTTACTATTCTATTCCTTTATGATGACATCATTATTTAAACGTAGACTGATATGAAAAAGTCTATAAATTTTACCCTAGTGAAGTATTATTTAAATAAAAACATTTTATTAAAACACATGCCTTTTTTTTAAATGGGTGTTTCTTACAGATCATTATGTAAACCACAATTTTTAGCTTCCGGCTAACAGTGGGAAAAGATTTAAAGCCCATTTAAAATGCCTCAGCTTGCTATGTTGTGAAAACTGTAACAGGATCAGTCAGCTGCTGTTGGAGCTACAGGCTACAGAGGAGAAACAAATGCATCCAGGAGGAAGAATTTAATTTTTTAGGGTCATCACTGACAAAATTTAAGCATATTACTCACCGATTAAGTCAACCAAGAAAAGGCTGAAACAGGTGGCAAATACAGAGGGATTAGATGATGTTGTTAAAATAGGTTTCTCACAATTTTATTTAAAGTTAGTCAGTAAGGATATATACTTTTTCTGCAATGTGGAATGAAGACTTCATGGTATAGGACTACTGGTTTTCAATTAATTGGATTAAACCACAAATGCTCTTCATTGAAAAAAGGTTTTTAGAGCTTCCCTTTAGTGGCTAGAAACATGCGTTCTAAAATACTTCTAAAAATTAAAAAATATTACAGAAGTATTAAGAAAGATCATTAATTTACAAAAAGAAACTAATAATTAAAACATATAAAACATTTTAAATAAATTCTGTTAATTTTACACTTCACTGTCCACTTCTCAAAAATTAAAATCTATTTTTAAAAAAGTAATTAGAGGGAAAGAATATGTATAATTTTTTTTAACATTTGATAAAATATTAAAGTAAGATGAAACAGATTTACTTCAAATCAAAACATACAATAATTTAAAATCTATTAAAACTACAAAAATTATAAAAAAAAAAAAACATTATGCTAATGAAATGTATCAGGAAAGTAAAATCATTTAACATGAGGTAAACCCATAAAGAAGCAGACCGTTCCTATAAAATAATAAAGAATAAGAACAAATATCTCTACCCCGTGGGACTAAGTGGTTATAAATGTGTTAAATAAATTCATTAAAATCATGACAGGAATACATATTAACCACTTTCTAATTAAAGTTATACATCTCTGTTATTCACAAAGATTAAAAATTCTCATTTTGTCAGATAAGACAAGTTCTATCACAACCATTAATTTAGAGGAGGCCTGTAATGAAGCCATTTTCCTGGGTTTGTCCTTAGCATTGCTATTCCATGCTACTGATGCTGCATCCATCTCTCAGGGTTTTTTCTGGACTTATTATCCTAGTTCTGTGAGGACCATATAAATGTGATATAACAGGTTTTACTTACTCTACGCTCCTCTTCACTCGGTTCAGAAGGAGCAACTTTAGCATTTGATGTTTGTCCAGTTGAGCTTGGTAAACTCTTAGGTTCAGCCTGGGCAACCTGCTGCATGGGTGTCACTAGAGTTTTATTCTTCATCAGAGTGCATAGTACTGAGGTGGAAGATGAAGAAAAAGAGATTTAACTTCCTGAAGCAGAAGTGAATGGGTTCTACCAGTCCTGTTGGGCCTTTTAAGCCTTCCTACCTTCTCTAGTGAGGTTCTCAGCGGCACTCATGGCCTTCCCACTGAGGTCACTGACCATGTTGTCCACCGTGGCCTCATGGCGGAGGAAGATGGGCCGAACCACTTTGTTGTAAATAATCTGGGAGCCATTCCATGACATGGGAGCCATGCACCACAGCAGGAACAGACACTGGAAGCATACAGTACATATGCAGCTTCTCCACACTTTCTAGAAGTTTTCTAAAGGTTCCCAGAGAGGGAGTTGCATTAGCATGAAATACTCGAACCTTATTTTTTTATTTATTTTTTTATATATTTTTTTTAATTTTGTCCCTATTTAAAAGCATTCAAAACCCCTTTAATGTCAAAAAATGTAAAAAAAAATGGTCACTGGGTGTTTGTGGCCCTGCTCTGATAATACCATGAGACTAACAAAACAAAAACACTGCACTTTAGTTAATATATATTTTTAATGCTTTAAAGAGTTCATCTGTATTTGCTGCATTTGCTTTAGGGCCAAACTTGGACTAGTTAGAACAAAGTCCCAAAATAAATTAGATGCTGTATTTGGAATATGATGAAGTGGTTGGTTTCTAACAGCTTGTTTCCATTCTAAGCCTTTAGCAGGCAGGAGAACGAGGGTTTGGCCTCTGTCCTTGTCATTGGTCCTGGGATGTGTTCTCACTCTCACCTTAAAGAAGTAGTAAAATGGAAACCAGTAGAGGAAAATATCAGAGAAGAACTCTCCAAGGCTGAAGACACCGTACACCACCCAGTAAGTCAACCACTTAGTGTCATCTTCTTTGCAGGGACTTTCAATGGCTTTAACTCTGTAGGAACATAGAGAATTTTTTTAAGGAGTTGAATTATACATTTTCTTGATTGCTTTGTTAGAGAAGGGAGATAATTTTTTTTTACCATGTTCGGAAAACTCTACCAACCTCAGGATGATACTTTAAAGTATCCTTCAAACAAAGGGCAAAGCTGTATTTTGCTCAGGAGGATGTCTAATGCCACCACACCATCACTCCACCAGGTCTACATAAAGCAGAATGCATACACCCCCCTACTACTTGTTATTTATCGTGCAATTTTAACCACCTGCACTGTATGAGTAACATCACAGCTTACATTGGGATATATGCAATATGAACGTTTTTTTCTTTAACTTTATTTGTAAATTAGATTTTTCAGCCTGGGAACGGATACAAATTTTGCTTTAATGTTTGCAACATCTTGTAATGAAAGGCAAAAATATGCCTTATGGCTTCTTACATTAAACAGAATAAAACAGGAAATAAATATCCTTTATAGTCCCATAGAGGGAAATTCAGGTGTACGAGCAGAGAGGCAGTGTGGCAGACAAATTGAAACATACAGACACCTGCAGAGGTAATATTACCTTTGTGGGTGTCTGCATGTTTCCATTTCACAAAAAATGATCACAAAAACATAGTATTCTCATGTTTGAAGAAACTCATTGCTGTATAAGCTGATCTAGATATGTGCAAGTATATTAATGCATAAAAAAACAATAGGGTATCTAAAACAAATAAACAGCAGGGATGTGAAAATAACCTGAGTAATATTGGTAATAATGTCTGTCTCCGGATATGTCACTGAGGGAGCTCTCCATCTGCAACAGTTTAGTCAGGTAGACTGATCAAGCATCAAAACTTATTCTAGAAAAAGGAAGCATGGCAGGAATTTACAGTTGCAAAAGGGTTTTCCAGTCAGAAACATTGAGGGCATACTTTGAGTTAATATTTATGTTGTGATATACATGTGTTGTAAAGTATATATGCTACCGAATTGGAATAATCTAAGGCCAAAGTTGATTGGGTCAAAGCCTGCTGGGGCTTTCTTTTGGGCTTCCTTAGTTTAGAGAAACAGATTGAACATATTAGAGTCCCCACATGAATAATTTATCATGGTTCTTTGTGAATATTTTAAGTTGGGGCAAGGGGAATTAGCCAATTAAAATTAGTTCCCAAACAAACCGTATTTGATCAGAAAATCAGATTAATACCAAGATAAACTGTCATAATTGTGGCCTCCTTCAAGTCCTGTCGGATAAAATAAAAGTCTGATTAAAGCACCTTTCTTGCAGATGCAAGAACCTTATACATTTATAAAACCTTATACATGTATCTGACCCACAGTCAATGACGTCACAGCTGGAAAATAGTACACATTCATCACCAGGATGTGGTCTAGTCAGTATGAGACTGATTGTAACTATACAAAGCGTATGGCGTCCATTAGAACGTCAAGAGAACAAGCTGAGAAAAGAAAACTCACGAGTAATATGCTGGATAGACAAATCCAATCAGGTTGCAGAGGAGAGCAGCACCATATCCATATACCAGATAAAGTCCGGTCAGTGAGACAGCACCTGTACAGAAACACACAGCATTACATCTGACGTAGGTTTTATCACTGTCTTCAGCCAAGTCCTCTGCTTTTTAAGGCTTCCTGTGCAACAAGTTTCTCTCCTGTTTTTTTATTTTATTTTTATTATTAAATAATGTAGTCATCAATAAACATTGGGTGTATTTGCCAGATCTCCTGTAAGGACAGACCGATGGAAGTATGGCTCCTTCAATTTGCTACCTACAATATAACCTTAAAAGGTTTTTGGGAAATGTTTTAATGAAGCTTTTCAGCTTTAAAGGTAATCAAATTGTGATATAAAAGTGAAACCATTTCGTGATTATGCTTTTTATATTGATATAATGTTATCCATAGTGGTTGTCTACTGATTAATCTTCCAAAGAGCTTGTGACTGACTTCTTACGCGTTCTACATATTTAGTTTTTCTGGTAGGTGCTCCATACCAGTTGCTTATTGGTCACCACCCTGAAAGTGTAGAGACTTCATAGAGAAATGCAATATCTGTAACAAGCTAGAGGTGCAACAGCGGCTATAAACAATCTTACTTTTTTCTCTGGTTTGTTAGCAAGAAGTTGAAACTTTGGCTAAGTTTTGCAGGTTTTAAACCCTAGTTTAAACCAAACCTGAACAACAGTAAAAACAAGAGCAACATACAGCGTACTCACAGACGATAAGCACTGACAATTCCTTCCTACCTCTGATCAGCTTACGTTGCTGTTCAGTCATGGAGGCCGTCCTGCCCTGCTGCCTGTCTCTGAGGATAATCTGCTTTGACGTTGCTGCTCTGAGAGGGAGACAAACGCTGCCAGGCACCACACTGACATCATGTTCCTCTCACTGTGTCACTGATCCACTTCAGGCTCAGTATGCTGCTGTTTAATGCTCACGGGATTTATAATACAGAGCTGACCCTCAGAGAGTGCACCTGTTTTCTTTTTCTCCTCATTCTTATTCTGGTAATGCCTCAGCTGCATAGGATTTATCTATGAATGCCCAAATAGACTTGGTTCATAATAATCAACAATTTAATAGATACTATAAACTTAAAAATGATTCTTATTTTTGCTGTCCCCTTCTAAAAAGAACTAATTAATACTAGATCATATTTTGAGGCAATTTGACTGTTCATCTTTTCCTTTGCTGTGCTACCAAATTTATGGGTCTCCATAGCAAGTCATTACTACTTCCTCACAAAGTTGGCAATGTTTTTATCCCGGAAGCCCTTCCTGACTCAACAGGAAGGGCATCCAAGCAGTTATCATTTACAGTAAGTTATTTAATGTACTGTAAATTTCTGCACAGTACTTATAAACAACTTTAAGAAGTCCAAGGACCCCATTGTTGCCACTGCTGCTCTGGGGCAGGCTAACAGAAACATGGCTGCCATCCATCGGCCTAACCGTGACCTCTGTTAACCACCATTAATACAATACAGTAAAATTTACTTTTTAAGGAAGCCCAGCTTACTGCATGAAATAAGTTAAATAGTAATTGGTAGCCTTAACTAGTTTTAAGCACAGTATTTAAATTGCATTAGTGTAAAGCACTTATAGCATTCCTATATATGAAAATGCAAAGTTATACTTCTTAGTAGGAGTTTTTTTTTTTTTTTTTTTGCATTGTTAAAGATCATTAATCAGATTGCATAGATGTTGTTTTGTTAGCATGAGCTACAGCTATAGTTACTTTCAAAATAGGTATCTAGCACACTAGAATGCCCAGTTACCGTGCTGCATAATAAGCAGGCTTATTTCAAAAATATCTCACTAAACACATTTAAAAAAACAAAAATCCTTAGTAAAAGAAGTATGTTTTTAAGGATTAAATGTGAAGTCATTTTTTTGCTTCCTTAGATTTCTAAAAATTGAAATACAAATTAATTTTTTTTAAAATGACTGCCTTTTTTCTTGAATTAAGCAGGTAGGTGAGACACTTTGCCAATAGAATAAGATTATTTGCATTTAAAGCAAGAAAATACAATTTCATTGTCTTATTTTAAATGCACAATATCTAATTATCTTATTGTAAGAGTAGAAATACTTTTTAGATAGCCAGATCTGCATATTCATCTACTCAAATTCTTATTTTTAGAAATGCTTAATTATTTTTAGATAGTATTTGCAATGTATTTTATTTTGAAAATTGGATATAGCCCATGAATGACAATTGGCCTGCAAGCTGTTACAGATATAATTCTGTAGTATAATTCTGACTCTTAAAAATATAGCAGCAAATACCATGCCAAGATTAACATTAGAGGAGCAGTTAAGCAATAATTAAATGGCTTTTTAGGTCAAAATAACAAATTCTTATAACACAATCCAAGTGTCCCAGTGCTGGTTTTGCTGAATCTAACCATAATACAGAATCATATAGCTGTTTTTTTTTTTTTGTAACTGAACAAAGTAGATTACACAACAGTTTCCACTTTACCTATGGCGATGACCTTCTTCTTAATTCCTGTCTTCTCCTCTATCTTTCCAAGAAAATCAGTGACCACGTTCTTCTCGTTAAGAAACTTTTCAGCTCGATCCTTGATTGAAGTGAAGACGTTCAACAAGCCCATGTTCCTTTGGTAACCTTCAATGTGATAACAGAGAAGTCTGAGGAAACCTGCGGTGGAGGCAACCGGAAAGCTGAGGGATAATCCTCTGACAGAAACAATCTGCTTTAATCAAGAGGTAAAGCTATGATGAAGGGCAGTGGATCGTTAACAAGTGAATACAAAAGGAGAGCCTTTTTAGAACAGATATCTAAATTCTGAAAAAAATACAGTGGTGAAATAACTGCTGGGCATTACTTCCCAGTTTCAGATTAGATTATGCTGCAGTCAGTTACATTTAACTTATAAGACATAACTGGATTCATGAACCACTGGGGAAAGATGGAGAGAGTTTCCTTTTGCTTCATGGAGCAGTTGGGCTGAAACCTCACATATAGTTATTAATCAAAATGGTGTATTTCAAGATCATCTTATTAAGCTGATAGATTTGTCCTGGAAAACATGCAGGGATGTAGGGGTCTGCCCTCACTGTCTGTTTTAGTTGTTGAGTCCTCAAACAAGACACGTCCCCCATCTTGCCTGCTGTTGGTGGTCAGAGGGCCTGGTGTATTGCAGCCTTGCAGCTGTCAGTCTGCATGACCGACTGGAGGTTTATTCCTGTTAAAAGAGATTTTTTTCCTCTCCACTGTCGCTACAAGCATGCTTAGTGTGAGGGATTGCCTTCGAGTCAATGAGTCGATGCAATCAACTGGTTTTCCTTAGATAGAAAACTTTGAATTAATTTGACTGTATGATATAGTGAACTGTAAAGTGCCTTGAGATGACATGTGTTGTGAATTGGCGCTATATAAATAAACTGAAGTGAATTTATGTTAACAGTCGTCCTGGTGAACAGTCAGTTTATGATGAGTGTGAAGCAGCTCGGACAAGACAGGATCTTCAGCCACAGTAAAAGAATTAGAATAAAAACTGCACAATCCCTAAAAGTATGCAAAAGTAAGTGCTGTAAAAAGCTAGTAGTGATATTCCAAAAAGCATGTTAGCAAGTTTGTCCTGTGGCTGCAAGATCAGGTGAATACTGATGTTGTTCTGGATATTGGCCATTCTAAAGATAGGGAAACCAGCTCAACCAAATCAGGAAAAAAAATTTTTTTTTACTTTCTTGAGTAAAACTGTTCCACTGGCGTGAATTCGTTATACTAATAATAATGTTACATTCTACTTATGAACTCTTCTTTGTATTTATGTAATTAAGTTGTTGTTTAAACTTCAAAGTTTATGCAGAAATGTTTGAGTAAAATATACTTCTGTAATTTTTTTTTTAGAATCAATACTCTTCTACTCCATAACCTGCCTATGCCATTTACACTGCTCTATTTGCACTACCTTGTACATTTTACTTTTTATACTTTTTATAAATTTTTTTTTATTTATCCATATTTTTATCCTAAGTGTATATATTAGTATATTTTTGCATGCCTTATACCCCAGTGTTTTTAGAGATTTTTATAATTTTATTTACCTATTTCATATTATATGTTTCATGTTGCACGATTGTACCATAAAAAATTCCTAGTTGTGAACCCCCTTACTAACAATGGCAATAAACCCGATTCTGATTCTGAGCTGAAAAATGTCAAATCTCTTTGATAATTGGATTTAGCTTAGCTAAAATAATAATAAATGCTTTGGGTTCAATTGGAATGTAAATATATGTGGATTAAATTTTTAATGAGCACATTGGATCAGTTCTTTATAGAATAGAATAGAAAATCCCTTTATTGTCCCACAATGGGGAAACAGCAGACAAAAAAGATTATAGAAAAACTGGTCACACAAATTTGGACCTTAGAAAAATGTATAAGAATAACATAATAGTCAAAAGTTAACAAACAAAACAAGAAAATAAATAATTTGAATGGAACCAATACTGGAGTTGAGGGGGGATGAGGGAGGATGGCATCCACCTTCTTATTAAAATAATCTTAAAATTCATCCCCCATCTTAAATGACCATCCCCCCCCACCCCCCCACCCCCAACCCCTGTGACATTTTATTACTAAATGTGTAAAATGTCTTCTATTCAACAGTAATGCCAATAATATTGCCCTAACAACATTTGGCGGGCTGTTGGCTTACGAGTAGCCTGAGCAAAAAAATACAATCAAAGAAGTTGCCTACCATGAATATGAAGCTGATCACAGTGGGAAACCTGTCCTCTACATTTATCCCTAACTATGTAGGGGCAGTGATCGCCATGCCAGCGACTGACTGCAGTTATACTGTACGGTGTCTTGGTCAAGGTCAATGACCGGCGTACCTGACATTTAACAACCTTACCATGCATATTGCTTTAGGTTAATAGACTATGTTAATTAGGATATGTATGCTTCCAAAAAAAAATTTAAATCCACCATCCCACTTCTTTTTTTTTTTTTTTTTACAACTAGGCTACTGAATAGAACCAGGCTTTAAAACTTTTGATTTTTTGTGCACCTTTTTGCCACAGTGTCTTGGGGTGTTATTGTAAATTGGTTCTTTAAAGATTGAACTGAACGTAAAAGAACATTTTGCTTCTGGGGTTTATATTTCTATGAAAAATACATAATAGTAAGCTTAGGGTCATATCATTTGGAGCCGGCACATAAAGAAGACTTTGACTGCAGCATGTACAGCTCTGCTTGAACTTTAGCCTTTCAGATCAGAATGAGTCAATATGTCCTACCTCATCCAGGGTTCAGTCAGCGCTCACTCTGCTGTCAGACTTCGGACGGAAAACAAGCTTATTGCTTTGTCATTGGACCAACGTGTCAGTGAGTACCATGTTAAGAGTTTCTAATTTGTTAGAGAAGACAGACTGCTCAGTTTCAACCCATGAATAGTATGAAAATATTTACAGCAGTCCAAGAGTTGAACAATACAGCTTTTTATGGTGCCGCACCCAAACAAGCAGAACAGAAAGCAAAAATTATTTAAAACCACTGTATCTGGACAGCGGCTGCAGGATGAGGTATGTGTTTTTTTTTCATTCATTCTTCTTCCTATTAGTTTTATTACCTTCCATTCCTCAGATATCACTTTTTCAAGCTGTTGAAAAAAAAAAATTCAACTCACTACAAATCGTTTCGTACCCTTTCAGTGCTCATCAGGAACGATCAGCACTGGAATCCAAACTAGTGTCCTTGGAGTGTCATTTCACATGGGATCTGGACATCAGCAGGTCTAAACTGCTCTGCCTCCGGGAAGCTCTGGAGGACATTGGCCTCGAGGAGGGATACTGCTGGCTGGGTCACATTTATAACCTGCAGGGCTTCATTCACCATCAGCTAGGCCTCATTGAAGAGGCCCGGCGTTTCTTCTGCAGAGCTGCAGAGGCTTTTCGGCAGCTGAGGAACACCGTCTCAGATGAAGGCCCCTGGTTGGTGGTCAATTATGGGAATATGGCCTGGCTACACCTCCAAATAGGGGAGCAAACACAGACCCAAAAATACTTGACAAAGATCGAAGCCCTGATGATGGAGTACCCGTCTCCCTCTCTAGACGACCCCCATCCAGAAATCTGTGCTGAAAAAGCCTGGACTCTGATGAAGTTCGGCAGAGATAAGAAGCTTCTGGCTGTAGATTACTTCCAGAGAGCAATCAGGATGCAGCCGGATGTGGTGGAATGGCAAACCAGCAGAGTGTTAGCATTAGTAAAAGCCTTCATGCACCACAAGGAAAACTTTGACTCTGATTTATTGGAGAAAGTAAAAATTGCCAAAGAACACGACCCGGAAAACTTGTATCTTTCTGCTCTTTACCTGGAAGCTCGAGCTCAGAAAGGCACAAGAATTCAGGATGAAGCCCGAAAATTGGCCCAAAGAGTGTTAAGAAAGCCGGTCAGCAGCTATAGTGGCATGAAACCTTTACTAAGGCTCTATAGGATCTACGTCTCCATGGATGAAGCTATTGATTTAGCAGAAGAGGCTCTGGAAAGACATCCCAATGCACGTTACATGAAGAAATGTGCAGCAATCTGCTACAAAAGGAAAGTCTTCTCCCCGAACAACAATCACCTCGAGCGAAGCCTGATAGAGAGAGCCATTGGTCTTCACAAAGAGACCATTGCTCTTTATCCTCATTCTTCCCTAAAAATGCAAATATCTTTGGCCAACATATACGCAAAATCAAACCGGCGAGCCAACGCTGAGGAGTTGTTTGAGGAGCTGCTCAGAACTGAGCTGGATCCTGAAGAAGAGCAGATGGTTTCCAGCTTCTATGCTAAATATTTGCAGTACAGTCAGAAGGAGAGAAACAAATCCATCACATATTACATGAGAGCAGCCATGATTCCTCACCACAGCTTCTATAGGGAGGACAGCATCAGAAGGCTGGAGAAGATCAGTGAGGAAGAACGGCAACCAGTGAGCAGAGATATAGAAGATTTCCTGCTGCATTTATCACAATGAATGAGATCATGTTCAGTTTTTAATGTGGGTGGACTTTGATAAGCATTTGGCTCCTAATGTGGGCCACCACTAGAATATGCATGCAAGATTAAAAAAATCATAAGAAATAATGGACTGTAAATCTATAGTGTATATGGAAATATCCCTCCACATTATTATTTCTAAATGTTAAACTTTCAACATTTAGCGATTTAAGCAATTTCTAGCAGATGTTCACATTTAGGCATTTTATAGATTTAGTTTGATGTTTTTTATCATTTCGGCAAAATCCAGATGAAAAAATTTTTGCATCATACTTACAACACTACGTTTGTTGAGTGCCTTTGTCAAAATTGCTATTTTGATTTAATTAAAAAGTAACTTTTTTTTCCAGATGAGGCTTTTTTTGTAAATACAAACATACGTCGGTGTTGCTATTACAACAACGTTTTTCTTTTGAATTAATATTCCAATTACTATTTTCTCTATTCTGACTTAGAATCATTAAGTATTTCAGTCTAAAATACCAGTGTAGTAATAACGAATCAGAGCACTGTGGTCGTTTTTGGATCCTCCAGCAGAGGGCGCTGTTATTCAATTAATTTGTACATCCTCAAATGCAGAAAAATCATAGAAATAAGCTGCTGTAAATAAGAAAATATCCTTATTATTAGCTAAACCTTAATTAAACAAATCAAACTTAATTAAATACTATATAATACTAACCCTAACTGATTTACTTAGACATTTTTTTTGTTTGCTTTGTTTTCTGTTTTTTTTTTTTTTGCTGTGTCTCTCTTAATGTCTGCTTTTTTAACCTTTTTTTCATTAACTTACCCATTTTTACATATCAATTAGCTTACTTAGCATTAATAAATAATTATTGACACAAATCATTGGCTTAACTATTTAAGAGATGGGAATAATTAATAGTATTTATTAATAAAAGGCTGACTAAACGGGTATTCCACTTACCCTAATGCCCTGTGCAAGTTTAAAAATACCCTCCTTTTAACTGTTCATAATAGGGATAATAGCAGTAAATAGTTTAGCTGGCAACATGAAAACAGGATGAAAAACCTGTTGAAAAAACACCTGTGTCTTTTGTTGCAGGGATCAATAAGCCGTTTATAAAACAAACCTGGTAGAAAGTGAGAGTCACAGTAAAAGTTTATTCCATAAGTCAAAAATAGTTATAAAAAACACCTTTGCTTAAAAAAAGAGCTCTTTGGTTTAAAATGCATCTTTAAATGCTGACGTTTGAGTGGCGTTTGATCAGTGCGCTCAGAAAGCAGCAGGAGCTGCTTCCGTCTGGAGAAATTACTGTCAGAATGGAAAGGTAACGTAAGGGTTCAGTTTATGGCTGAAAAGGGCGAGTTAAAGCTCCTCCTTCTTCTTCAGGATTATTTGCCGCACCATGTCAGCGATCTTCGGGCGAATCTCTTTCACAGAAACCCTCGGCCCCCAAGCGTCCACCACTTTACCGTCAACGTCGATGAGGTACTTCCAGAAGTTCCAGTCAGGCTCTTTTCCTGACACCTCTGCACAGAATAAGAGATGAATCGTTCAGAGCAAAACTAAAACATACATTTCAGGATTTCATTTTTTAAGACAGAACTTTGACTCATGGAATAAAAGTGATCATTTCTTCCCACATCACATGTGACTCACCAACCAGGTGTTTGTAAACATTGTTGGCTCCTGTTCCAACGACTGCGATTTTGCTGAACAGAGGGAAGGAGACGCCGTAGACTCTGCGCACAAAGCTGTCGATCTCCTTGTCGCTGCCGGGCTCCTGCTGGCCAAACTGGTTGCAGGGGAAGGCGAGAACATTGAAGTGATACGGCCCAAAGTCCCGCTGCAGCTCCTGCATGTCCCTGTAGTGCTCATCGGTGAATCCGCACTCGCTGGCAACGTTCACCACCAGAGACACCTGAGTTCACAGGAAAGCTAAATCAGTGATAAGTGAATGTGGACATGGCAGTGGTAGCATCATGGTACTGTCTAGCTGTCAATTAAACAATATTGTTTATAATGAAAAGGAAATAGATGAGATATAAAGAAAAAGCATTTCGAAACTAAAAAGAGAAAACTTTAGGAAAAAATTAGATATTGGTTTGAACCCAACTGTTGACATGTCTTTGATAGTTCAAGTACTATTCTAAGTAGCTATTAGCTCGACTCCTGCTGAAGAATATCTTCTTAATAAACCTGCCTAATGTCGGTATCAGATAAAGTCTTATTAATTTCCAAATACCACACATAATCTTCTAGCAGTCACTGTAACAATCTACACATCAATTCCAAGGCTCTGGGCGGCCTTTTAAAGCAAAATAATAAACCCCAGGACAAAAAAAGAACTTTATCATTTGATAAATATCAGGGTTTTGCCCTTTGTTTAAGTTTATTTTTAGTTTCTTTGTTATTTCTGCGTCTTTGTAGTTGTTTTTTTGTCAGTTTTGTTTGACTTTAGTTACTCTCTGCTGCCCCCTGGTGCCTGTTCCTTTCCCCTTGGCTCCCTTCTAGTTACTTCTATTCACACCTGCTCTGAATTAGCTCATTAGTCCATCCTTTGTTCTTTTCCTAATATATACACCACCTCTGCAGGTCCTATTTGCTAGATTTCTTATGTTTTGTTGATTTGTCATCTCCTTGCTCTCCATGTGTGTTCACCTTGACGTTTTTAGTAAATCAGCAAAACTCATCTCTGCCTCTGGGTCCTCAAAAACCTCCACAAAAGAAAAATACTCAAACTTAATTTTTTTTCTTCTTTGCTTTATATCTTAAAAAAACAGAACATCTCTTAGAGATGGGCTGCCGTATAGAGATCCACAAATAGACAAAATACATTTTTTGAGATCCAATGATACAGGCAGCTAAATTGCACACAAACAATCCCCACACAGAAAATAAAAAATAGCATAATTAAAAACGGATTTTTCCGGGGTTATTAATATTTAGTTACAATTAAGAAAAACAATTGGATATTTGTTGAAACAGAACCTAACTATTTTAACATCACATAAAATGATTGGTCTTACAGGAAAAGAAGCAAAGACTCCAGTTATTATTTGTTAATATATGCAACAGGTTATGCCAAGACTTGCATCTAAAGACGAGCAGTTCCTCAGTGGAAACCCTTTTAGAAGTTTAGGTTTAAATGTTTTAGATGTATTATACTTTTATTTAAATCCCATGAGCATGGGCGGTTCTAGACAGGGGCCAATGGGGGCCGGTGCCCCTGCCGGTTATGTCCCGGCCCCTGTTATGGCCCCTGTACTGAGGACATAATACTCAAAGAAATTCTAATGATGATCTGCACTGGAACAGACATGGTAACTGATAGGTCCTTTGGATCTATTTCATTTTTTTTTTCTTTACAAATTCTGTTTTACCAAATATTTAAAAAAAAGATAACACGATAGCTTCAGTGGGATGTAGATAGGATCCCAGTTTTCATCTGCTAAATATTTTTTACAGCTGAATTTATCAATTTTTCTTAAGTTTTAATTCAGATTTTTATAGAAAATGGTAATTTTAACTTAAATTAAGTCAAAAATATGTAAAATCCCTAAATAGTGAATGGATATTGACCTAATAGGATATAAATTTGAAATTAAACCTAATTAAATAGAAATTTCACTTAATGCAGCTCTCTTAATATATTTGAATCCCCTGCCCTGGTTTTTTATTTTAAGCTTTTCTGGGCCCCCAGGAAAACATGCTGGCCCCCTCCTGCCCCCCCCCCCCCCACCCCCCCCCCCCCGGGGTACATTTGGTCTAGAATCGCCACTGCCCATGAGATAGAAGGAAATTGTTTGCCTTAAAACCTTTTATACTGACGTTTTATGCATTTCATTAAAGGGATGCGTGTCCAGTTAACAAACAATAATAAACAGACATGCAAAGGACATCATTCTTAAATGGTTGAAGGTAGATGTTAGTTTAATGTTTCTAGGTGAAGGTTAGTCAGATCTGGTGGTTTGAATGAAACTGATGGGGCTGTTCAGCTGCAAGGCTGCAGGTCTGCAGGCCTCCTGCCACGTAGGCTGCTGCAGGGAGGACATCCTGGGCAGGATGCAACCAATCTGAGCTGCAGCAAAGCTACTGTTGGTCATATCTACAGACGAGATTAAGGATGAACAAAGGTGCATTCACATGCAACATTCCCACATGCAGATGAGTGAGGAGACTCCCCATCTAAACTAAACAGGACTCACCGAACCGCGATACTTCTCCAAAGAAACTAGCTTTCCTCTGCTGTTGACCACTTTAAAAGTATAAAAGTCTTTCTGTTTACTTTCTGCCAGGTTAAACAGTAATAATAATGTGACTGACGTCAGTGAGAGAGCCGCGGGAAGCATCTTCACAGTAAAACTAATGAGACTGCCAACTCAACAGAAGAGAGACGCGTCAATCTCTGTCAAGCTACGAGGAGTCAAAGCATGACTTCCGGTACTTCCTAATGCCTACAAAATAAAAGGATGGGCGTTTATTACAGAATAAAAGATTTCCATTAAAAGTAATTTGTTTATTTTTAAAAGGGGAACCCTCTCTTCTACATAACTTAAAATATATTTAATATTTTATGTATTTCTTGTGGTAAATATTGCAGTTATAACAGCAATAAAGTTTTTATTTCAGAAGTAGAGGACAAGTTGTGAAAGATCTAAAACAGACAGACAGACAGAAAGAGACAGACAGACAGACAGACAGACAGACAGACAGACAGACAGACAGACAGACAGACAGACAGACAGACAGACAGATAGATAGATAGATAGATAGATAGATAGATACATAGATAGATTATCTCAATTTAATAGGATTTGAAGACACATTTTCAAATTGCAGTAATTAGTGCTTGATTAATATATACAACTTAATTTCTTCTTTTATGATCAATTGAAATGTGAGATTAAAGCAATGTTTTTATATGGATTTCTAATTGTATGATTTAAATGTTTAATTTGGAATTGCTTTATTTCTTTTTAAGGAACTCTTATGGCCCTCCATAACTAGTCCAACATTGTTGACTTTGTTAATCTCTTCTTCCTATTATAGTTATTATTGTTCTTCTTCTGCTCATAATAATAATAATATAGTATTGTTGTTGTTTAGACTAAAGTGAGTCTAAATCCAATCCCATTATCCCCCAACATAGGTGTGATGACTCTGTTCCCATTTGTTATTTCCTGCTTATTGCATAACTTTGGTTATATCTTCTTCGTTTATGTATCACTGACCCAAGCTTGATACCAGCTCACCTAAGCCTCAACCAATAATAATAATAATAATAATAATAATAATAGTAATAGTAATAGTAATAATAATAATAATAATAATAATAATAATAATAATAATAATAATAATAATAATAATAATAATAATAAATTATCTTGGTACATTACAAACTGATTTCTCCTTGTTTTAAACAGAATGTACGTTTTAATAAAAAAAAAAAAAGGCAGCAAAAAAGAAAGAAAGAGTTGTAATTTTTCCTGTAAAACAAAAACTCGAGTACACAGTGAAATAAAACTTTGTGATCGAGACAGCGGTTATTTACACAGGCCAAACGTCACTGGTATTACGTTCTAACATGCCCAGAATCAGTTTGTTTTAAGATGCAGAGTAGGAGTTGTTTCGGTATTTTCTTTACGAGTTGTACCTAAATGCAGCATATAAATACCTGTCTGGTCATGGGCATTCCGGAACTTTGTTGGGATTCAATACATTTAGCGATACTAACCCTCGAAAACTACACAAAGTAACGGGTGCTCAGTTACGTTAATAAGTAGCTTAGTTAAAATATTAAACAGTCCAAAAATTATTCTGTATCACGGGTTTGCAAAGTAGCAAATATAAGATCTTGATATCTTTTTTCTGAAATTGAACTAAATAAACACTAAGGAAAATTTTATTCAGCCTTAGTAAAATAAAATGCAATATGATTTATTTACGGTTTCTATTATTAGCCGTGTTTAGAACTGTATACTCCAACTGAATTTTTATTTGTTTGTTTTTGTTAGAGAAACATTAATTCAAATTATGAGTTGAGTAAACTAAAGCCATTATTTTCTATCCCAAACTAATTTGATCTTGCCATCCTTTTATTAGTCATCAGCTCATCTATCTTGGTGTTTAGTCGTTTATTTAGTAAAAATGTATATAATGGATATTTACGTAGCAGTTGTTTGAAAATGTGTGCTTTGCGCTGTATTTTCCATTTCTTCCAAATCCTTTTTAAGTCCACATCAGAATGTTTATTTGGAAAACACTAGCAAGTATATAATACTTTTAGTAAAATATACCTAAACACAGATACACCGTTTGCCGTTCCTTGTACCGGAGGAAGTCGGTGCCCTAATAGAGTCAGCTCATCGAACCTGTTCGGCTGCGAACCGCACAATGCTAACTCCCACAGTGCAGCGGGGTGATGTATTAACATGGCGTCAATGGTTGCTGTTTGGACCAGGGCCGTGGGGCTGGAACACCACCACGTAAAACACAACTATGGAGCCAACTAGACAATAATTTCGGATCAGCTTTTGGGCTCAAAGTAAGTAAATATCCGCTCTCTAGTGTCGTAAAGTTAAAAGTCTTCCTGTTTATCAGGTGACCTGATGCTGTGTGGCATTTGGGTGCCAGTGTTATTTACGACCCTGGTATAGCAGTTAGCATAGGTTAGCCTGTAGCTAATCCGGCTACGCAAAGATAATCCAAAAAGTCAGTTTAAATTAATTCTAGATAAGTAAAGAACCATGCTTCATTTTTAAGTTGTCTTTATTACTCTCAAAGACTTAATCCCACTCCCCACTCTTTTACTAATCTTTAGTTTCAATCATTTAAAGATAACTGGTGCAAAAACTGCTACTTAGCATCACATAAACACTTTACTTCATCTGTTTCGGTCAGGCATCAATAGTCACACCTTTCGCTTTCGTTTCCTTGGAAAACAGTTTTGCTTAATCAGTTTTTACTCTCACATGAAACCACTCATATCTTTTAATCCTTTATGTACAGATATTCTTATTTTATTATTTTATTTTGAAGGTAGGAGTTCATCTGAATCAAACTTCTGAACTATGTCTAAATTCTGACTTGTAACCATGTAGTTCTTGTTTCGTTAGAGAAACCTCCTTATTTCCCAATGCAGATCATTTATTATTGATGGAAGCAGTGAATAGCATCACTGGGGACTTACAAGTTTCCTTTGTGTCCCTGTCGCTTATCAACTCTGTTACATTGTCTTTCAGATGTAAACAATAAGAAACTTGCTTAAAAAAGTTATTTTAAACCTCATGTACAGCATCTTATTAAATCAGTAATGGCTATTCAAAGATTAAACTGTGGATTGGCAGGGGAAGCACAACTCAATATACTTCTGAGGAATTAAATAATAAAAAAAGAAAAACAAATACAAGCAGAGTAAAGGCAATCCAAGATAAAAACAGGCTGTAAAGCCAATAGAACAGTTGGAGCACAAACTTAATGATACCTTAATGGTTTAACAATCATAAGCAGTTTTGAAAAATAAATGTTTTATAACTTTGACTTAAGTGAACTTGGCCTGGGTGTGTTAAGGTTAAAATGAAGGTGTGGTAGTTGCAGGGATTCTTTTATTTATTTATTTTTTGTGGAATGTGCATTGTGCGCTGCTACATGAATACATTTCCACATGATATGGCTTTATAATTTTTTACTAAAAGAAAATTGACCAGAGTCAAGAGTTGGAGTATTCTTAGTAAATCTGTTAGTTTTGAAATAAATAATAATTGAAGTAATCATTACATTGTAGTTTGGGCTATTTGTACACTAAAGTAAAAAAAAAACAACAAACTGCTACTCCAAATGGAAAACAAAAATGTTATTGAAGTGTTTACAGATCCAGAAAACTTCTCGGTTTCACTGAAAACTCTTTAAAAAGTGTAAAAAAAAGAAAAAAAAAGTTGATTTTGATTAAAGCTACAGTGTGTAATAATTACAGGCATATAAAGTCAGAAATTTAATATATTATATATAACTATGTTATTTATCATCACCTATGAGCTCAGCCTTTTAACCATAATATTTGCGTTGCCTTAGAATTCGTTATTTATAATTACATAGGAGCGGGTCTCGCAGCCATGGAGGCTGACATCTTTGCGCTACGGCAAGCGCAGAGGCAACAAACTAGCGATTGCGAGATCTCCCATGACGCTCGAAAATAACTACGGCAAGTTGAGAGAGATGAACTGAGACGGTACTGAACAGTAGATGGCAGTATTATTCCTGAGAAGCGTTTAGTCTGCCTGAAACCAAAGAAGAAGAAGAAGCAGGTATACTGCGCCTCAGTAACAAGAAAGGTGAACAAGGCAGCAGGCGTGAGTGACTTTGCAAACTGTTTGGCACTGTGTGGCCAAACATCAGACGAATGGAGGATCATGCCTACTCTGTATCACAACGAAAAGCGGCGGACACCGAACCCCCGTCATCTAAGAAGCGGAAACACGACGAGAATAAACGCAAGCGTGACAAGAAACGACAAAAAACACGGATCAACATTGGCACAGCATTTACACGATGGAAGTCACTGATGGAGGAAAAAGGTTTTCAAAGTGACGCTCAAGTTGCCAGTTTTCTCTTGGACAGGTAATTAATCCTACACACACAATTGTCTAATATCACTGCAGTTTTTGGAGTACAGGATGCTCAGACCTGTCTAAAACAATAACATGCTGCGTGATGATGCTGTTACTCTCCAGTATACTTATTCAGCAACGTCCCTGACGTTTCATAGGTAATGATTCAGTAATTTTCTGTAAAATAATTTTCTGGATATATACCTCGGTTACTTCTCTCCGGCTCCTTTGGAGATCTTCAAGCCTTTCCTCCTCTGCTCTCACCCCGCTGGCACCCCTCCCTCGCCTGGCCCTAGCTGCACGGCCTCCCTGCCCTCGTCCTCTCCCTCTTCCTCGCGTTGTAACCCCCGTGCCACCAAAATGACTTGGACTCTGTAAACGGGGAATATATATTCTTCCAGCGAACACAATCTCGCTGTTAAACTAATGACTACAATTACTTCGTCTGTTTATATCACCATGCAAAGCAGCTCACCAAAACGTCACAACGATGTAGAAAAAATAACGGGTATATTTATTATCTTAAGTTTACATGAAATCTATACCCTACACAGACTAATGAAATACTATCTGTAAAATTATCTATGTAAACAAACCTCATCACTTGAGAAGGTGATGCGGACGTCGTGGAAGACATTTTGTCCCGTAACGCTTGCCATACTGTTGGGGGGGAGAAGCGGTGGGGGGGAGACGTTCATGTTGCTGCGGTCTGCAGTCTGACCGCTAGATGTCGCTGAAAATTACACACTGTAGCTTTAATAGCCAATATTGTTAAACACATATATTTTCTGTGATTTGTTGTGTGGGGAAAAAAAAGCATCAGTTTTTAATGGAACAAAAAAAGAAAACCAAATGCATAATAAATAACTAAAGGGTTTAAAATTCAGCCATAAACTAAGCACATACGGTAATTCCTGTGACTTTAACATTATTGATTTAAAGTACAGATACGTGCATCTTATTGACTAATGCTACATTTATTTTAAAATTTTTTTCACAGGTTTTAGTTCTTCCTAACTTTTGAACATTTTCATCTTAGTGTCGACTTTTATGGTAATGTTATTAATTAGCTATTCCTTCATGAAAAATCAAAATATCTTGTATTATCTTTTTTTTCTTCAGAATTTAATAAGCAATTACTCTCTATATGGTGGATTGGTTTCCAGGACCAAATGTCGCACAGTCTGTCTGTAAGAAATTGGATTATAACTAATATTTTTGATACTAGAGTCCAACATGATGTTCTGTCTCCTTTGTGAGATGTTAGAAATCGATACCCAAGGCGATACTGATTTTCCTTTTTTCTTAGTCTCTTAAGGTCTGACTTATTGGTTATAATTTGAACTCGTTTGAATGTTTCTTGACACTAATACACAAACAAATCTACATTGCTGCAGGATGTTTGATATATGTATTAGTTTTGAATACTAATTTCTGCATCTGAGGGGGAAACTTCTTTGTTTTGATGTATTTAAGAAGTGAAATATGAAAAACCTCATATTTAATCACTCAATCAAGAAAACATTTAAGATATTAATCTCTTGTTATTTATTTGTTCATCTTAATTTGGCCAAAATAGATATCTCATATTAATAGCATTGATAGCTGATTGGACAAATTGTGTCTTTATCCAGACTTTCGGTGGCCTGCCTGGTGTTGACAGGTGGAAAGCAGCAGGGCACCGGGGATGGAGGAGTCCGTAGGTTCAGTAAAAGCACTCAAACAGTCCCAGTCCAGAGGAGCAAAGGCGTCATCCAGTCAGAGGCCAAACAAAGAGGGTGTCAAGAGTGCGCTGCGCAGCAAAGAAAACCTCACCGCTGCTAAAGATGAAAGAAACGCAGGCAGCCTAGTGACCCGAGCGCCAGGCGGCCCGTTTTCAGACAGCTCCCTGGATAAGAAGAGAGGACGGCTGTCCAGGCTGACTGGAAGGACGAGTTCAGGGGAGAGGGCTAAAGGAAAGGTGGGAAACGCCCAACCCGCAGAGTCCAGTCTGCCTCATCCTGGAGATGGCAGCAGCAGTTCATCGGCAAACAGAGAGAAAACCGCTTCTGTTTCACCTGGAACACCTGAAAGGGCGCTCACAGAGCAAGCTAAAAGCTCAACAGGGACCCCAGCTAGAGACAAGGCCCAAGGTGGGTTACACGGTTTTCCTCAGATCTTTAAACTTCCCTGATTCTATGTGATCTCATTATGCTCTGTGATGTTGCAGTGGTGAAACCTGCAGCTCTGATGCATTCACCTGCTGAAGAGGGGGAGGAGGTAAGGCTCGCTGTGGAGGAAGGGCTCCTAGCAGAGCAGCAGCTGGGCCTCCGACAGGTCGAGGAACGCCTCCACAGAGACCACATCCACCGCCTGCTCAAAGTAAGACCCAGAACTCATCTGTGCACTAAAAGTATCACATTCTTTTATTCTATTATCTTACTGTTTGTTTTTCCGTAGATATTTACCCATGTCTCAGAATTCTGAACTGATGTCTCTTGGTGGATTATTCTACTAATTGATGATTTTTTTTCTATTAATCGATTAATAATTGGATATCAAAAGGTTTCTTAAAGAAGATTTTTTTGTCAGAATTTAAACCAAGTGGAAGTAAAATATTTCACTTGAGGATTTCTGGATAGAGCGTATTAATGGACAATTTTACAATTTTGGTGTAATTACTGCTCTAAAGTGGTTGCTCTGTCCACTAAAGGCATGTTTTAGAGTATCTATAGTCGATTAATTGCTTAAGCCCTAATAACAATGAAGACTCTTCTTAATAAAACACTCAGAAGTTTTTTCTAAGCAGTGAAAAGGGCATTATATTACAGAGAAAAGTTATTTGTTGGTGTCTTCTCAGAAAAAAAGCTTTTACATGAAAATAATTCAAGTTAATGGCAGGATAATTAGAAAACGGTTTTGGGGTAATGTATGTATTGGTCAACTCTGAGTTGCAATATCTGTATCGTATTAGAAATAAAAAAGTTGTACCTGGACACCCCAATCAGCAAGATGGGAGAGGAGTGATGATCTAGGGCTTGTTTTACAACCATAGAACCTGAACACCTTGAAATCAGTTGACCACGAATTAGTCTTGTAGTCAAGACCACACAAACCGAACCCATAGAGGCACCGCACACATTTATAGTTGATGGGGATGTAGGTGCAGTGTTCGCAAAAGCCACAGAGGGGCAGCGATCAACATAACAGGCTGAAATGCACAGAAAGAAGAAGAAACAGCCCATACAGGCCTTTTTGTCTTTTAAATAACAGATGTAAAAAAAAGAAAAAGCAAAATGCATTATATATTATATGGTTAGTTGTTTCAGACTTTATTTCTGTTATCTGTGATGGAAATGGAAACTAAAATCCTTGTTTGTACCTCGGGTTTGGCCAGTAAAGTCAGTCACTGAATGAACAGTAACAACACTGCATTCAATCATCTTTAATCAGCATCATCTAGATGAATGAAGATGTTTGAACTATCTGTGACACGTGTTTAAGGTGGCTCTATAAACTATACACTCACAGCTTTTTAGATTTAGGCCTGTTTTGGATTAATAATTTATTTTAATTTTTTTATGCCTTGGGTTTAGATTCAAATCTTCATTATAGCCTGAGGAATAGCATCTATTTGATCACGCACTGCTGTGATTTTAAACAGCCTGTATGCTATAAACTTGTTTTTTTCTATAGCCAAGTCGGTACATTCAGATTGGTCTTTTTCTTAAATTTTACATTAGTTCTTCAATTTGGAAAACCTTTTCTTCTGAACTTAAATGTTAACATTTCCTGCTGTTTTTTTCAGCCGTCCCCTGAGTACCCAAACTATCACTATTTGTGCAAAGTCTGCTCTGTGCACATCGAGAACGTCCATGGAGCTTACAAGCACATCAAAGAGAAGCGGCACAAGAAGAACATGATGGTTTGTTTTTTATCTTTTTGGGGGGGTTAAGCTGTGAAAAGCATATTAGTTGTATTATAAATTGCACATTTCTTTGGCGCTCCCTGCAGGAGAAGCAGGAGGAGGCGGAGCTTCGGGCTCTGCCAGCACCCTCTGCTGCGCAGCTCAGGGCGCTGGATGCAGTTGTCCTGGAAACCGCTAGCCAGCAGGGGATCTCGGAGCAGGATTTTGAAGTTCGTAAGGCCGTTGTGACGAGGATGGAGGAGGTCATCAAGAAGCACCTGTCAGGTTGGACTCTTCAGTGTCTACACCCGGATACTAATAGCATCAGCTGATGTATGGAGTTTTAAACCTGATCTGTGCTTCTACAGCGTGTTCTCTCCGTCTCTACGGCTCGTGTCTCACGCGGTTTGCTTTCAAGACGAGCGATGTCAACATTGATGTCACCTATCCTTCCACAGTCAGTTTTCCTCCCCATATCTTTGTCTTTATTCAGCATGAGCATACTGTAAAGCAGAGAAAGTCTCATTATGTACCTTCTTTGCTCAGATGACCCAACCTGAAGTTCTTATTCAGGTGCTGGAAATCCTCAAAAACAGCCGTAAGTTTGGCTTCATATTTTCAATCTTTGAAGTTTTGAAGCAGAATACTCGGTAATTAATGCTGTTTTTATTTATTCTATCTAATTTCCGTTTAGCTGAATTCTCTGAAGTCGAGGCAGATTTTCATGCCAAAGTTCCTGCTGTGTTTTGTCGTGATGGAAGCAGGTCAGTGCTGTCGGCTGCAGGTTAATCTGATCAGTTATGGTCTGTTTAAAAAAAAAAAAAACCTGAAGCCTTGTCCTGACATCCTCTTTTAACTGAGTATCTGTCCTTTGTCTTTGCTCAGTGGCCTGATTTGTAAAGTGAGTGCCGGCAATGATGTCGCCTGTCTCACCACCAATCATTTGGCTGCCCTGGCTAAATTGGAGCCCAGACTGGTTCCACTGGTCCTGGTGTTCCGCTACTGGGCAAAGGTAAGGCTCATAAACTGGAAATGATTGCAGTTCATAATAGTTTAAGGTGGAATGCTCCCTTTATAATGTGGGGTGGAGTTTCTGTCTCAGCTAGTTGAGGTTGTGTATATTTAATAACCCATGGAATGATGGAGTTTAGTAGACACATTAGGACCTCATCTACATTAATGCAGAGGATCTACTGGTGTTATCTGGAGTCAAACACTCAGCTTTGATGTAAACAAATAAGTCCAGAGCAATTGAGCTAGCATTAGCTAACTCTACAGTAGCAGCCATTTAAAATTGCCCTTCCCAGTCAAACGCCAGCCAACTTCCAGCCACTGGAGTGATTCCCTCCTTCTGCTGGTCATGCATATTTTCTTACTCTGACTCCACCCTTTCATTGAATTAATGGGAGATGGGGCTTCTGTTTAGATCTTAATGTCCACACATCATAAGAGAAAGAATATTTTAGTACAAAGATTGATGTTTAAAAAAGGAATCTTAAAGGACCAACCAAGGGCCCATCAAGGAAAGTGGGGAAAGTTTGAATGGCTACTACTGTATAGAGGTTTCCTGGTTAAAAAAAAGAAAATACATAGGTTTCCTTTGTTTCCTCTTTCTTGTACTACTTGAATATTTGTTTTGGCCTTTTGTCCATTTCCCCCCATCCTTTTTTCTTTTCTTTCCTTCCTTCTTTTAATTGTCCTTCGGTCTTCCTGCCAACCAAGCTAAAACAAGACAGAGGAACAAAGATATTGTGTAGTTAATGAACTACATGTCAACATCCTAGCTTAACAATTTAAAAAGTTGGAGCTGAAGGTTAAATAAGTTTGCATAACTGACTTCAGGTCTCTTTAACCTATCCTGCAGTCTTCACAGCTTACAGAAAATGCCGATAAATCAGCACTTATGAAAGTAGTCAGAAACATCTGTGATGTTGAAGCCAACTTAAACTTTGCAGTTACAAAACGTGCAGCTTCAAGTGGCTTTGGTAAAGCTATATGCTGATGATGTTTTGAGATGTTATGGAGGTTAAAGATTTAGGCTACGTTCACACTGCATGTCCTAAAGCTTAAAGGAATACAGGTGCTGGTCATAAAATTAGAATATCATGAAAAAGTAGATTGATTTCAGTAATTCCATTTAAAAAGTGAAACTTGTATATTATATTCATACATTACATACAAACTCATATATTTCAGATGTTTATTTTGTTTAATTTTGATGATTACAAATGACAACAAATGAAAATCTCAAATTCATCATATCAGAAAATTAGAATATTACTGAAGACCAATAAAAACAAAGGATTTATAGAAATGTTGGCCAACTGAAAAGTATGAACATGAAAAGTATGAGCATGTACAGCACTCAGTATTTAGTTGGGCCTCCTTTGGCCTGTATTACTGCAGCAATGCGGCGTGGCATGGAGTCGATCAGTCTGTGGCACTGCTCAGGTGTTATGATAGCCCAGGTTGCTCTAATAGTGGCTTTTAGCTCTTCTGAATTGTTGGGTCTGGTGTATTGCATCTTCTTCTTCACAATACCCCATAGATTTTCTATGGGGTTAAGGTCAGGAGAGTTTGCTGGCCAATTAAGAACAGGGATACCATGGTCCTTCAACCAGGTACTGGTAGCTTTGGCACTGTGTGCAGGTGCCAAGTCCTGTTGGAAAATGAAATCTGCATCTCCAAAAAGTTGGTCAGCTGCAGGAAGCATGAAGTGCTCTAAAACTTCCTGGTATGTGGCTGCGTTGACCCTGGACCTCAGAAAACACAATGGACCAACACCAGCAGATGACATGGCACCCCAAACCATCACTGACTGTGGAAACTTTACACTGGACTTCAAGCAACGTGGATGAAGTGCCTCTCTTCTTTTCCTCCAGACTCTGGGACCTTGATTTCCAAAGGAAATGCAAAATTTACTTTCATCAGAGAACATGACTTTGGACCACTCACCAGCAGTCCAGTCCTGTTTCTCTTTAGCCCAGGCAAGACGCTTCTGACGCTGTCTGTGGTTCAAGAGTGGCTTGACACAAGGAATGCGACAGCAGAAACCCATGTCTTTCATACGTCTGTGTGTGGTGGTTCTTGAAGCACTCACTCCAGCTGCAGTCCACTCTTTGTGAATCTCCCCCACATTTTTGAATGGGTTTTGTTTCACAATCCTCTCCAGGGTGCGGTTATCTCTCTTGCTTGTACACTTTTTTCGACCACATCTTTTCCTTCCCTTCGCCTCTCTATTAATGTGCTTGGACACTGAGCTCTGTGAACAGCCAGCCTCTTTAGCGATGACCTTTTGTGTCTTGCCCTCCTTGTGCAAGGTGTCGATGGTCGTCTTTTGGACAACTGTCAAGTCAGCAGTCTTCCCCATGATTGTGTAGCCTATAGAACTAGACTGAAAGACCATTTAAAGGCTTTTGCAGGTGGTTTGAGTTAATTAGCTGATTAGAGTGTGGCACCAGGGGCCATCAATTTTGAACCTTTTCACAATATTCTAATTTTCTGATATGATGAATTTGAGATTTTCATTTGTTGTCATTTGTAATCATCAAAATTAAACAAAATAAACATCTGAAATATATGAGTTTGTATGTAATGTATGAATATAATATACAAGTTTCACTTTTTAAATGGAATTACTGAAATCAATCTACTTTTTCATGATATTCTAATTTTATGACCAGCACCTGTAGTACACCCAAAACATGATTAGCCTTCATTTTCTACTCACCCCCATGCTGAACAACACTCTGGAGTACTTTTTTGATATCTCAAATGCATCTGGAGATCTGGGAGGCTTCTTGCTGTCTGCTGACATTCAAATAATGGAGGTCTATGGCGCCCGAGGCAGAAAGGTCCATAAAAGTCCACAAAAAACGTGTCAATATTCCTCCATACTGCTCGTCCAATGTAATCCAAGTGTCCTGAGTGGGTAGCATCCAGAATTTACTCGAAACGAAGTGATTTAGAACGTTTTAGAGCATAAACAGTAGTGTATAGGATTTCCTAATAGCGCCCCCATTCGCGCTCACGATTCTACGGAAGCCGGCAGACCAAACCAGCGCATTCAGCTCGGCAAAGAACTCATGCTCTTCCTCAACACTGAAGTCCTCAGACATTTTTCTTTCGTTGTTTCTTTCTTTGCACAGGTAAACAGCACATTTCTTCTTCTACGCTTGCATTATCGGCAGAGCAGACGCTGAATGCGCACTTTCTTCCGGTTTGGTCTGCCGGCTTCCGTAGAATCGTGAGCGCGAATGGGGGCGCTATTAGGAAATCCTATACACTACTGTTTATGCTCTAAAACGTTCTAAATCACTTCGTTTCGAGTAAATTCTGGATGCTACCCACTCAGGACACTTGGATTACATTGGACGAGCAGTATGGAGGAATATTGACACGTTTTTGTGGACTTTTATGGACCTTTCTGCCTCGGGCGCCATAGACCTCCATTATTTGAATGTCAGCAGACAGCAAGAAGCCTCCCAGATCTCCAGATGCATTTGAGATATCAAAAAAGTACTCCAGAGTGTTGTTCAGCATGGGGGTGAGTAGAAAATGAAGGCTAATCATGTTTTGGGTGTACTATTCCTTTAACTCGTTTTTTGTGTAGAATCAGATTGTTTTGGTTGTCCGCATTGATCGTTCACATTTACAAATATATGCTACTTGTATGTGACTTCCTGTGTGAACTGCCTTCATATAACTTAAGTGTTTTGCATGTGCAGTAAATGACGCAACAACGTCACAAGTAGTGAGAGTGTTGTGTTTGTGGGAGTAAATATGGATAGCAACCCTGGAGCGCAGCGATAACCCATTGAGTTTGACCTGGAAAGAGCTATTCCCCAAAATATAAATGAAATTGAAAACTCGCTTTCTCTACATTGTCTGCTCTCAACATTACCGTCCGCCATGTTTGTTATTTTTTTGTCCACACCTCCACATCTTTCAGACATTTTGATGTGTGATTAAAACAGACTAATATCAATATACCTACAAATGCAGCCTTGTGAAGAAGTCACTACATGATGCACTGTGTTTTATTACTGCCCTTTATCATTGAAGCACTGAAGAAACGTTGAAGAGTTTTTAATTTTTTTCCATGTTTATTGCCCCAGCTGTGTCACATCGACTGCCAGGCAGAAGGCGGCATCCCTTCATACTCCTTTGCCCTGATGGTCATCTTCTTCCTGCAGCAGAGGAAGGAGCCCATCCTTCCCGTCTACCTGGGATCCTGGGTGAGTGCATCCCCTCACCTAATAAAAACAATCTTAGAGAGCACTTTCCACAGCTAAAACATGGATACATATTCCGTCTTAAATATTAAGACGCCAACTAGCTGTAAAACTAATGTTTTGACAGATTCCTTTGAATAGAAATCCCACAACTAACAAAGCTCTCTAGTTAAATTGTTTAACAAATTTTACTCTTTAATGCAACCTAATTTACTGCTGTAGAAGGGAACCCCATTTCCTTTAGCTCTGTTTTGATACATATAACATTTTAAAAATGTGTAAAAATTGTTTCAGTGCTGTGAATGAATGCATTTTATATATATTAAATGCTCCGCATTTTTAAGGTAAAAAAAACGAAAGTTAAGCACTGCTTTAATTCAAGATTAACAATGAAAAATATGAACAGCTGTTAAAAACGCTCCTAAACAGCTGAAGAGGGTTTTTCAGAAAGGCCAAGCTAAGTTCGCCACCAACTCATTTGATTTTCCTCTTTCAGATCGATGGCTTCGATGTGAAGCGAGCGGATGAGTATCACCTCACTGGAATCTTTCTGGACATGTTTGTCAAGTGGGAACAGCGACCTCCGAGCTCCTCGGAGGGACGAGGGGAAAACCGGAACGAAGCCAAAGCAGAAGGAGGATCTAAACCAGAGAAGAAGAAATCTGATGATGCTGAGCGAGCAGAAGGCCTGGTGAGTCAGTGAGGCCCTAACCAACCTGTTTTCCCTTTAATAAACTGGGATGTGCAGCTCAAACTGGAAAAAAAAGGTTTGCTGTTCAACTAAATCTGGAGATGCCCTGCGTAATCTAAAACTTAATTTTTACCCTTGATTCCCAGATGGGTAAAGTCTCCATCTGTGCATAGTTTGCAGGTAAAAGAGAGGAACTGACTTGACTTCAATCTGTGGAAAAATAACTCGTCACATAATTTTGAAGTCAAGCTGGACACAATTTGAACTGACAGCTAAGTACACCCCAACGGGATGACAGCAAATGGAAAAAAAAACACTGGAAAACAATGAGCTCCAACATTAGAAACCTAAACTTATAACAACATCAAGTAAAATTAAGCTATTAGATTATAATCAACATGAATAAAAAGAGAAAAAAAAGATACATTGAACAGTTCTCAGATTGAGCATGAAGATAATGCGAGTTACTTGAATTAATGCATATTTAGCGCCCCCTTCTGGCATTGTTGTTCCTTCAAACACTAACCCTTGTTAGTTTCCACAGGAGCTTGATGCGCTCAAGCTTTAGTTGGTGTGATCAACCCTGCAATCCTCACATGGTGTCAATTAGGCTTAATAGGGAAGATGAGAAGGAAAGATGGCTGCTACGCAGAAACACTTAATTTAACCAACCCTTGTCCTTGAGAGGAGCTATGAAACCAGGAGTTTAGTTATTCCAAGGAGGACGGAGATTAGAAATAACATTTTTTATTTATTTATATTATTTACCTGTTTGAGAACCCCTTCTCGACCTGAACTTTAAAGAGAAATCTGTTGTTTTAACAACCTCAGAGGTTAGTGATGGTTAATGAGACATCTTAAGCATTTCGATAGCGAGCAGAGCTTTTTTTTATTTTTACCATGACTCCTGTTTTATTTTATAGCTGCACTCTATCTCTGGTTCTGACTAATTCAAGCTGCTTTCTCCCATAGAGCCGATTGACTCTGGATCTTGGAAAGGGAGTATCACTGGGCCAGCTGTGGTTGGAGCTGCTACGCTTCTACACTCTGGAGTTTGCATTGGAGGAATACATCATCAGCATCCGCATAAAAGAGCTCCTTTGTAGGGACGCAAAGAACTGGCCCCGCCGTAGGCTCGCTATAGAAGGTAAGAAAGAACCAAGGCAGTAAACCCATCTGGAAGAGCATCAGGAATTCACGTTTCGTCTCTTTCTAGACCCGTTTGCCTTGAAGAGAAATGTTGCCCGGAGCTTGAACAGCCAGATGGTATTCGAGTACATCCAGGAGCGCTTCCGGACTGCTTATAAATACTTTGCTTGTCCTCAGAAGAGAGGCGCAGGAGGGAGACGCCATAGGAAGAAGGAATCAGGGGGAGAGGGTGTGAAAGCGGAGCGGACCCAGGACCCGGATCTTTCTCTGAACAGAGAAATGGAGAACAAAGCAGGTGGAACGAGTCAGAGAGTGGTGCCGGTTTCAAAGGAGGACGGCGAGTCTGACAGCGAAGATGATGATGATGATGGTTCAGATATGTCTGGGGAGAAGAGCTTAGACACTGGAATTATGGATATGGTTCTGCACGATGGGAACAAATCTTCCTCATCCCCCAATGGGCTGCTGGACAGTGACAAGGAAGGGGAGGAGGAAGAGGAGGATAAGCCTGTTGCATCGCAAGATCTGCACTATGTGTTCGATAAGATGATTTTCACTGGTGGGAAGGTAAATCCTTCACTTCATGGGATTAAAATCAACCCAATCTCACAGTGGTCTGTACTCTTTTACTGAAGGGATTAATTCCTATTCTTTTCAGCCTCCGACTGTGGTGTGCAGCATCTGCAAGAGAGACGGGCACCTTAAAGACGACTGTCCTGAAGACTTTAAGAAGATCGAGCTGAAACCTCTGCCTCCCATGAACGACCGCTTCAGAAATATTCTGGACGGACTCTGCAGATTCTGCTACTGTACGCCCAACACTACATTTATCACTTTCTTTCAGACGGCATTCATTTAAATTCCCATAACTATGCTTGACTTTACAGAAACTTATTTTTCTAGTCTGACTGAATCTGCTTGTTTGCAGACGAGTTGTCACCGTCACATATTGAGCAGCAGAAGAGGGAGCAGATTCTCGCCGGCCTGGAGAGGTTCATTAGGAAGGAGTACAATGGTGAATTTTTTTTTTCTTCTGTGGACAAAGCTCCCCTCATGCTTCAGGACATGAGATTAGGGTGCCTCCATTTATTGGGAAACATCTGGAGAATGATTTATATGAATGCTGAGTATTTCCCCATTTAGCAGATTTATTCATATCTACACCAACCTGTAGTTATTACTGAAGAGTTTCCGGTTATAACTTTGCACCTGTTTATGGCCAATGAGACTTGTTTACGTAAAACTTCATCATAATAGATGAGAATATTAAGAAAGATTTAAAACATTTGCAGCCTTTGCAGGCGTTCAAAGTCAATTTACTAATAAGTGAGACAAATATTGTGCTTTTTTTCACAATTTTCTTACTTTTTTACACTGAACTTTTGGTTTCAATCATCTCTAAGCCTTAATAATGGAAATTACAAATAAAAAGGCTTGAAATATTTAACTCTGTGATGAATATATATCAAAATGCGCCTCACTAACTAGCATCATTGACAGATGTATTGATCTTGTTCATGGTATTATAAAATGTTAAGATTTACCTTTATGCTAAAAAGACATTCTGGTAAATAATTTCTGGCACAATACGAATCATTTGCTGGTGAAACCAACTTGGACTAAAGACCATCCATGACCCAGTCTCACATTTTTCCTTTAACTGCTGTGGTTTAGGGGGGCTCAGTGGAGCAGTGGGTAAAACTGCTGCTTTGCAGCAAGAAGGTCCTGAGTTTGATTCCTGGCCTGGTTCTTGCGGCATGGAGTTTGCATGTTCACCCTGTGCATGCATGGGTGTGGTTCCTCCCACTGTCCAAAAACATAACTGTTAGGTTAATTGGCGTGTCTTAACTTTCCTTAGGTGTGAGTGTGCGTGAATGGTTGTTTGTCCTGTTTGTCTCTGTGTTGCCCTGCGATGGACTGGCGATCTGTCCAGGTTGAACCCCACCTGACAGCTGGAGATAGGCACCAGCACCCATCGCAACACCAGCGGGGATAAAAGATGATGGAAAATGGATGGATGCTGTAGTTTTTTCAGACTTCTAGAGTCTGGGAAAATCACAGAAGAGCAGATTTAGACCAAATCAGATTCTAAATGTAATCAGTTTTCCATAAAGCTGGGATATTCTTCTTTCAGCAAATCCAGTGAGAAACTTCCTGGTTTTAATCTGGCTACCCTCTGCTGTTTGTAGCCTTCCCTTCACTGTTCCTGTCTTAAAGTGCTACAATGGTACTTTTAGGTGAAAATAAGACTGTCATGTTGTTTCTGATATTTTTACTGTACAGATAAAGCTCAGCTCTGCTTATTTGGCTCTTCCAAAAATGGTTTTGGTTTCCGGGACAGTGACCTCGACATCTGCATGACTCTGGAGGGTCATGATACTGCAGAAGTGGGTAGCCTCCTCATTCAGAGCACTCATTTCATTGATTCTGTCCATCATGTGAAAATATAATAATCTGGTTTGAATGTCAATTTCTCCACAGAAGCTCAACTGTAAGGAGATCATTGAAGGCCTCGCAAAGGTGCTAAAGAAGCATGTAGGTGGGTAAAGCTGATTTGATGCTTGGTTTTTCTTTCTGAAATTTGTCAAACTGCTGATGTTTAATATCTTCCTTTACTTTCAGGTTTAAGGAACATCTTGCCTATCACCACAGCTAAAGTGCCTATTGTGAAGTTTGAACACAAACAAAGTGGTTTGGAAGGAGATATCAGCCTTTATAACACATTGGTTAGTGAGGCATTCGCTGCTTTCATCACCTAATGTAAACCTGCTGCATGAATCCCAAGTTTCCAGTTTTAATTAATTTGGAGCAATCCTCTATTTAGGCCCAACACAACACCAGAATGCTGGCAACGTATGCAGCTCTAGATCCTCGGGTGCAGTTCCTGGGATACACAATGAAGGTCTTTGCAAAGGTAGGTTATATGGCTTTTAATCATTTTCTGAAAAAACATAAAAAACAAAAAAAGATGAAATGCTGTGAATAGACACAAAAAACAAACTGAAGTGATCAGTGTTGGGAACAAAAAGGAAAAGGTATCTTGTTATTGTTACTAGTTACTTCTCTCAGAGAGTAAATGAGTTAGTAACTCCTGTTACTGCACAGTCAAACTAGTTAATAGGTAAAGTAAATGTGCAGTTATTCAATTGTGTTGCTTCAGATCTGCTTTTAAATGGTTTTATAAAGCTTTGTTAAATAAAACAAGCATTTTCAGAGGAGCGGGGCAAATTGCGTTCTCATTCCCGAAGATAATCTGCATTTTCTTTGCCTGTTTTACATTTTTTTCAACTTAGCCCAAAATATTTTACTAAGTGAATGCACATCCTCTAAAAAGGAAAACATGCAACTCATTCAGACGTTCTTTTATGGTCATTATGGTGTTTACTCACCCAACACCTAGTAGCAGTATCCATGGTGGCTCATCTAACTACAGTTTTAAGGTAAAGATGTATAAAGGGGGAAATATACTTGCTTGCACCCATAAAAGCGCTGTACCCTTTTATAGTTGATACGGATGAAGGTGCAATACTAAACCCGGAGGGGCAGTGATCAACATAACAAGTAGAAATGCTGGAAAAAAAAGGCAGTTGAGAGAGAGGGAACTTCTATTAAACACGTGTGAGAGCATGCACACTCTGTTTAAAAGTTGCTGTTTGCATTGCTCATCGCAGCTTACTTTCCCAAAGAAGATTTACAAGTTTTCCACTATGTCAGACTCGCCACCGATAAGTGAAAATGTGGACGAGCAAATAGGACGGCCTGACATAAACATATCATCGGAATGATTAACAATTAGGAGAACCCCTTATTTTAATAATCCACCTGGAAAAATAACATCCTCCACTATACCTTTAAGACTTGATAATTATTGAATAATACTAGATGTGTTACACAGAAATATACGGTGGAATAAAACCGTAGGTTTACCTGCTGCACACAGAGAAATGTGACGATGGGGAATCTGGTGCATGGTCAAGTTACCAAAATTCACGCGGCAAGTATAAACCAAGCTTAAAGTTGCATTAGTAGCACTGAAATTGAAATGTCCACAGCGTAATGCTGCTTTTACCATCCTGACAGGTACTACATTTTTGGGGTTTTTTTTTTAGATGTAAAAGTTTTCCCTAGACTTCTAGCTTACATGCATCTTGTTGTCTTGACCAAACGGTTCAGTCTTTGTTAAAATAAAACTTAACCATCTGTAGATTTATGTCTAGCTTGCAGGTGCTTTGGTGCAGGAGTGAAAACCTTTATAGTTCAGGGCAAACTAAAACGGCCTCAGGCTTCCAGAGCTTGGAATGTTGAGACTCATTTGCTTTTACAAACTTGTTTGAAATAGCTGTCTTGCATGTATTTCTGCATCCTTTCCCTGTAGGTCCTTTTTCTGTATTACAGTTATTGGAAACCAACCGTACTCTTCTCTTTACAGCGCTGCGACATTGGAGATGCCTCCAGAGGAAGCCTGTCATCTTATGCCTACATCCTGATGGTGCTTTATTTCCTGCAGCAGAGACAGCCTCCAGTGATCCCCGTCCTGCAGGAGGTATCCTCCTCAGATTACTGACTCATACATTTGTGTTTTTAACATAAAATATTGTTTGGCTTTGATTTTAATCAAAACATTTTTCCAGATCTTTGATGGTAAGACTGTTCCTGAGCGGATGGTAGACGGCTGGAATGCGTTCTTTTTTGATGACATTGACAAGCTGGTGAGATTATTGAACTGAGAGCTGATGGATTTCTCTATCATATCAATTTCATGCTTCGGATTTGTGATGTTAGTTTTTCTACCTGCGCAGCGTCAGCACCTCTCGGACCGGCAGCCAAACACGGAGTCGGTGGGGGAGTTATGGCTTGGGCTCCTTCGATTTTACACTGAAGAGTTCGACTTCAAGGAGCACGTCATCAGCATTCGCCAGCAGAAACGCCTCACCACGTTTGAAAAACAGTGGACCAGTAAATGCATCGCCATCGAAGGTGCACAAAGAGCTCTGCTTTAACTGTATCTGTTGCTGATGCGTCTATCCTTTAATTAAACTTTTCATGTTTTCTATTCTCAGATCCCTTTGATTTGAATCATAATCTGGGTGCCGGAGTGTCACGCAAAAGTAAGTATGATCAGAATATGGTGCTGACTTATAAGCTTGGGCATTTTTTTGCAAAAATAAGCCACTTAAAAAAATTTGAGAAACCTTATTCAAAGGTTATTGTCTGAGTTGAAAATAAGCCATTAAATCTGTAGTTCATCAATTGCAACCTTTCATCGTCTGAAATATTTTAGGGGTAGAGTCTGGACAAACCAGTTAAACATCAGCAGCACAGATACATTAAAACTTAGAATAGTGAAACCCAAAGATATTTAGCACCAAAGAGGCAAACATTACCCTATACAAAAAAAACAAAAACAAATTTAAGCTATACCTTTTCACCCACAGTTGGATATATTTGTGGTAATTAAACTGATAAAACTAACATTACCAGAAGACCCTAAACCTTCCAGCTTTTTGCTGCTCACTTTTCCTTTTTTTGGATCCATATATAATATTACAACATTTATTACAATCCAAAGAGCTTCTTAAAGCTACAGTGTGTAATTTTCAGCGACATCTAGCGGTCAGACTGCAGACTGCAGCAACATGAACGTCTCCCCCCCACCGCTTCTCCCCCCCAACAGTACGGCGAGCGTTACGGGACAAAATGTCTTCCACGACGTCCGCATCACCTACCTTCTCAAGTGATGAGGTTTGTTTACATAGATAATTTTACAGATAGTATTTCATTAGTCTGTGTAGGGTATAGATTTCATGTAGACTTAAGATAATAAATATACCCGTTATTTTTTCTACGTCGTTGTGACGTTTTGGTGAGCTGCTTTGCATGGTGATATAAACAGACGAAGTAATTGTAGTCATTAGTTTAACAGCGAGATTGTGTTCGCTGGAAGAATATATATTCCCCGTTTACAGAGTCCAAGTCTTGTTTGTGGCACGGGGGTTACAAGGCAAGGAAGAGGGAAAGGAAGAGGGCAGAGAGGCCGGGGTGAGCGTGCAGCTGGGGCCAGGCGAGAGAGGGGAGCCAGCGGGGTGAGAGCAGAGGAGGAAAGGCTTGAAGATCTCCAAAGGAGCCGGAGAGAAGTAACCGAGGTATATATCCAGAAAATTATTTTACAGAAAATTACTGAATCATTACCTGTGAAACGTCAGGGACGTTGCTGAATAAGTATACTGGAGAGTAACAGCATCATCACGCAGCATGTTATTGTTTTAGACAGGTCTGAGCATCCTGTACTCCAAAAACTGCAGTGATATTAGACAATTGTGTGTATAGGATTAATTACCTGTCCAAGAGAAAACTGGCAACTTGAGCGTCACTTTGAAAACCTTTTTCCTCCATCAGTGACTTCCATCGTGTAAATGCCGTGCCAATGTTGATCCGTGTTTTTTGTCGTTTCTTGTCACTCTTGCGTTTATTCTCGTCGTGTTTCCGCTTCTTAGATGACGGGGGTTCGGTGTCCGCCGCTTTTCGTTGTGATACAGAGTAGACATGATCCTCCATTCGTCTGATGTTTGGCCACACAGTGCCAAACAGTTTGCAAAGTCACTCACGCCTGCCGCCTTGTTTACCTTTCTTGTTACCGAGGCGCAGTATACCTGCTTCTTCTTCTTCTTTGGTTTCAGGCAGACTAAACGCTTCTCAGGCATAATACTGCCATCTACTGTTCAGTACCGTCTCAGTTCATCTCTCTCAACTTGCCGTAGTTATTTTCGAGCGTCATGGGAGATCTCGCAATCGCTAGTTTGTTGCCTCTGCGCTGCCGTAGCGCAAAGATGTCAGCCTCCATGGCTGCGAGACCCGCTCCTATGTAATTATAAATAACGAATTCTAAGGCAACGCAAATGTTATGGTTAAAAGGCTGAGCTCATAGGTGATGATAAATAACATAGTTATGTATAATATATTAAATTTCTGAATTTATATGCCTGTAATTATTACACACTGTAGCTTTAAAATAGATTTAAACTTATAAATGGAAAAACTATCACCAGTAAATTACAGTTTAAACAATGAGGTTTTCAGTTTTGATTTTAAAGGAGCCAACTATTTTTATACCCCTCATAAGGACGAATGCTGCTTTCCCTTATTTACTTTTTGAGTCAACAGGTTTCGGGCAAACTCCGGTTTCATCTCTGTTTAGATCTGACAGACAAGACCCATACGTTTTTAAGTTTTCAATATCAAACCTTTTAGATCCAAAACACCTGATTGACTCTTTTATTTTATAGAACTGGTAAGACTGTAAATCAAAATATTATTGTCTTATTCCCTAAATTTGGAATTCTTTTTAAGGTTCCTGATGGTTCTGATTCAATTAATGATGATGATGAGGATGGTCTATGTTGTGAAGTCCATAATTGCACTCATGTATTTTGTGGTTGTAATTTTGGACGGTGGTTTGTGGCCAGTATGGCTGAAAAATCCAATATTCAGTTTTTTTTCTCTTCCTTAATTTCAATTTCATAATAAAAAGTGACAGATGACATATATTCCAGAACTGATCAGTTGCTAGGCCTTACCAAGATTTGAAACGACAATGAACGTTCTCTGCTCTAAAAATCTCTGGTCGATCATTTCTATGATATTTTAAACCCATCCTCACTCGATTACTTAAAGAGCATTTGGCTCTTGTTCTTGGTGAGAGATATTGTAATGTAGCCAAGCATATAGAATTAAACTGGTCCAAGGATGGAGCCTTGAGGAACCCCACATCAGATTTTTGTTTGCTTTGTTTAATGACCATACAAAGCAAACCTGAGGTCCAATTTAACACTTGGTATCTTTTTAACACTCTTTAACATATAATAGTTATTTGTAGATGTAGTCTCGGGTTGACCTTGTTTACAAATCATTGTATATTGATCGATCACAATATAGATCTTGTCCATTGCCCTAAACTCCTTATTTTTTTGGCTCCTCCAGTGACAAATTTCATCATGAAGGCCTTCATAAATGGGCGGAAGCTGTTTGGAACTCCCTTCTTTCCCATCCCTGGTACTGAAGTGGTATGTCCCTCATTACTTTTTTTCTCACAATTATGTGGTGATTTTTGCTGATAATACATTGTTTTTAATCATCACCTTTTTCTGTCTGTGCAGGAATACTTCTTTGATTCAAAGGTGTTGACGGACGGCGAGCTGGCGCCCAATGACAGGTGCTGCAGGATCTGTGGGAAGATCGGGCATTACATGAAGGACTGTCCAAAGAGACGCAGGTTCAGTTATTTTGTCATTTAAGCTAATGCAATATGTGATACAACAGCATTTTCTACAAAAAAAATCTCCTTCTATATTATATTTTATGTGGGATCCAACTCTGACTAGTGAAAACAGATCAAGACTTTGTTGAATCTTGGTCACCAATTCAAAATTATTCATTGATTGGACATCATGGTCTATAGAAGGAAGTGTGTTTAGAGGTGTTTGTCCTTCATCAGTTGCTTATCTCGTTTTTTATTTATTTGTTGTCAAGAAACATTTAGATTGTGCAGCTGCATTTTTCCTTTCTTCAATTTGTGTTAATAGATATCATATTATGGTTTCCCATAATGTATTTGATAGCTACTGATTTTCATGGTTAAGTAAAGAACAAATCAACACAATGAAGATATAATTCCTACCCTTTTACTCGTACTCGTTGATTCATGCTTAAAGATTCGCCGTATGGGCCAATCCTGTTAGATGGTTTGCATCATGTCCAAAGCTAATTGGGGCTTAGGATGTCACTCAAGGACTTCAAACGATAGTGGGCAACTTAGCCAGCAGCACCTCAGCCCAATGGTTCCATATTACTTATTCATCCATTCAGATATTAAACGACCTATACAAACTGCAGTTTATTTATTTATTTTTTCTTCAATTTTTGTTAAACCAGGGTAAAGAAGAAGGAAAACGAAAAGGATGAGGACAGTAAAGAAGAAGATCGAGAACCGAAGGATAGGCGTTGCTTCCAGTGTGGAGACATAGGACATGTACGGAGAGACTGCCCTGAGAACCGCCACCTCAAACAGAGGAACACGGGGGCCCCAGGTTAGTACACTACTTCTTTTGGCTTTAAATAAAGATTTTTTTGCGCATTAGAGCATTGTAGGTAATTATTGTTCATATCTAATTCAAAATAGAAACCCATTTTTAAGCCTATGAAGTTAAATATTTGATTTAGTCTATTTGTAAAAGACTTTTTGTGCATCTCAACCAATGGTTCCAGTAAGCAAAGATGGCTTTGTCCATATGGATACTAGTTTAGTAATGTACTGGTTCTTCCTTCGTAATGGTTAACAGCATCCAATTAATTAATTAATGTCACATAGATGTGTTCTGATCTGATAAACATGTAGAAATAACTTTCTTTGAAAAACATATTAGGTTGATAGTAGTCATTGGACTCTGTTTGTTATATCATGTGTCAGTAGGATTGAAAATAATATTTTCTTCTTCTGCTACAGCTTCTCACATGGTGCGAGGTGTGGCGAACTCTCAGTCCATCCCCATCCCTCAGACAGCTGCAGACTCTCCTGGAAGGACCAGGCAACCTTCTGAAAGTGTGAGTTCATTAGTCAGACCGCTAACGGTCAGTTTTCAGTAAAATGGGAACATTTGCATGAGATTTGGATTAGTTGTTTAGATGTTTGCTGTTGTAGTTTTTAAAATGCTAATGTGCTATAATTATGGAAAGAAGTGTCTGGTTGTATAGCTCATAATCCTTGCTTATATCTTTATTTTGCTTCCTGTCAACAGTCGGACAGTCGGCAGACTCCGCCCTACTCCCCACAGCCCACTGCTGGCCCACAGAGCTCCCCCCTCTCCTCCAGCTCCCCTCAGACCTCCCTCAGTAAAGCCACTTCGGTTGGTCCACAGAAGCCGCCTGCACACTCGCAGGTTCCACTGCCTCTCTTCAGCTTTCCCACCACCCATCCGGGCCAGTTTCATCCTGCGACTCTCACTGCACTGGGGCTTCTTCCCACCCACCAGTCTCAGGGGCAGCCTCACCACCCTGTCCACATCCCCTCCACCTCCTGGCCCATCCACGGGCCAGTCCTCACTTCGTCCTCTGCCACCGTCCCCTCTCCGCCCGGCCTTAAATTCGCCCTGCGCTCCGTGTCGGGGAACGGGAGCCCCACGGGAACCGCGGGCAGCCCCAGCTCCGTGAGCCTGAATGACCCGAGCATCATCTTCGCCCAGCCAGCGGGAAGACTGGGCATGGGGGGGCCGGGACGGGAGGGGCACTGGCACAACAGCGTGGGAAAGCCCGGGTCACTGATGGGCAATGGCACAGTGGTGAAGTCAGGTATTCACTGGGGGACGTTTGGTGGCACCAGTCTGTGGGGGGCTCTGTCTTGTTATTTCTGTGTCTTTAAAGAACAACTTCATACTAATTCCGCTTCTGTTATTCTGAGGCTCAGCTTCACAGGAAGTTCCAGGTTGATGTTTTTGAAAACAACAGGAATCAATCAACAGCAAACAGGCTTCTTTTTCTGGCATTTTCAAGTCTTTGCACAACCATGAAGGAACCATTTCCTGTTTAAAAATCCAGTTCAGTTTCTTTCTTTATTTGTTGAATTTCAGACAAGCTAAGCTAACCTGGAGTTACTAACAGATACTAACAGATGAATATATGCACTAAACTCCTACCTGGGTTATATCTGTGGGAGTGTTAGCCTAGTGTTTAGAGCAGTGCGCTTGTGCTCTGAGAAGGTTGCAAGTACCCGGTTCAATCCCCACAGCCTCCACTCTGGGTTCCTGAGCAAGATCATTAACCCCACACTGCTCCCCGGGCGCCACACAATGGCAGCCCACTGCTCCCCAAGGGGATGAGTTAAATGCAGAGTGTGAATTTCTCCAGTGTGAGATCAATAAAGTTCAATTATCAATATTATAAATATTGATAATATTATTAATAATATTGGATCATGTTATTATAGTCGTGTTTGTTTCCTAATGTTGGCACCTCAGTTCATAATCCAACTAGCCTGATTATCTGTACCAAGGAAAATGTGTAACTACGGGGACAGCTTCAATCCGAAAAACATGCTGAACAAGTTGCATCTTTACTCTTGAGATTCCGCAGATATAAACACAGAAAAACATGATTTGGCCCACAAATATCACAACGATCACAATTGTGTGCAAAACTCTTGCTAGAAAATCACTGTTATGCTTGGATGATGTGAAGAAGCTTTGAAAATGTTGGAAACTTCTTCTGTACGTAGTGTGGCTACAGAGAGTAAAAGCCATGCGGCGTATAAAAGCTGCAAAGGCTTTTTTCCACTAATTTCTTTTTGAAGAAAACACCTTCCACCTCTTTAGGTGAACAGAACTTCCAATAACTTGATTTTAGCAGGGGATGTCTTCCTGTCCCTCTTTCATAAATACCCAAATTGTGAAATAGCTGCCCTTTCAACAGTTTTCCCACCTGATTTGATTCATCTAGTGACAAAATGTAAAAACTGTTTGTATGTCTTGGGAAAGAAAGCCAATGATCTTTAGACAGTTTAATCAAGCATTGCTTTTTTTTTGCATCTTTAAGTTGGAATTGGTTTAATATAATTGCTTTTTAGATATCCTTTGTCCTTTATTCAGGTAACAGCCAACGCTATCCATATTCTGGGTTGGGGGCAACACTGCTACACCGATTTGTTGCCAGCAGAGCAGCAGCGCCTTTACAAACATGTACTTTGTAGATTTGGAAATAGGGGAAAAAAAACTGATTTGGGTTTGCTGAGTTAAGGTTGCAAGCAAACATTTGCTTCTTCACTTGCAAAAATGTTTCCTTGTTAGGGGAAAACATATTTGATCTTTTTATGCTTTTTTTTTTTCTAAACTAGTCTCGCAGGCTGCTGGTTTATCCCTTAAACTGAAGGGAGTTTATATTGTAGGTTGAAATTAAAGGAAAAGGAGCAGTTGATGTGCTTTAAAAGACTTTCTGATAGAGAAAAACTGTCGATCAAGATTATAAGAAAGTATGACGATAACACGAAAGGAAGCAAGGAGCAATCAGAGAAATAAAACAGGTAGAAAACTTTGTAAATGAGAAGTTTCTGATATTTTTCTAATTCATTTTCCTTATCAGAACCCAACCACCAAGTCCAGTTTGAAGGTGTGAGCCAAGGTTCACGAATGTGGGAGCACAACAAACCCCCCCACTACACTCTTTCTCCATCTTGGCCCTACAGGATGCCCCAGAACTTCATCCAACAGGGCAGCGTGCAGCCGGGGAAATCCTTCATGGGCCCAGGTGAGAACAGACATGCCGATGATTGATGGCGCAGGGAAAAACATGTTCTGATTCTGACTTTTCTCATTAAAGCAGGTTCTGTGGTGCATCACAATCCGAACTTCCCTCTCGTTCCTCATGTTCAGCATCCAGTCAACCGGAATTTTATCCAGCAGAAGAAATAAGTCTTTTTTTTTTTTTTTTTTATTCGATTTCTGGTCAGTAATAGACAAAATAATAGTGTACCCTCTGCTTCAATTGATCACAACTTTAAAAAGAAGAAAAAAAATAATTTTATCATTTTTGTACAGTTTTTAAGTTTAAATTTTTGAGTCTCGTTACAATGATTTGTGATACAAATGTCAAATATTTTAAATGCCCCCGTTTTTGAGGGGGTCCAAAAAAGTGTTTTTATGTGTAAAGTAAGGAGGATGAATTGTAAACCTTTATTTTTATTAGCTGTACTCATACTTTGCTTGCTGAAAGATGAAGGCTTCGATTAGATGTTTGTTTTGAAAACAGCCTAACGTATCAGTATGTAGTACCAAAAGAAAGAAAAAAGGGGGAAAAAAGGAAAATGTTTAAAAAAAGCTTCAAAAAAATAAAGAAAAAAGCAAACATTTCTGGTGTTCCTCTTTATTTTTAACAGCATTCAGTTATTTCCGAAACACCTTTACAAAAACAGGACAGTAATTGAATTAGAACCGGACATCAAACCTGGATCTAAGAAACTAAACGGGAAGCTCCTGACCATTTAAATGTGTCCTCCAACTTAACCATGAGTTCATTGGTCCAAGTAGATTAAAACACTCAAGTAACAATGCAGATTTTAATGTTTCATAATCAACACCAAGGCTAAATATGTATATAACATCATAGATATATCAAATATGTATCAAATCCACTTTATTTATATAGCACATTTTAACAACAAAATGTTTCCAAAGTGCTGCGCATGCAATAATAAATACAATAAAATGAACACAGCCACAGGGAACCAAACAACTTCTGCAATGCTAAAAGCTAGAGAATAAAAGTGAGTCTTAAGATGAGATCAGAACACTACACAATGGGGGCCATGCGTATATTGAGAGGTAGAGCCCTCCACAGCTTACATCTGACAACTGAGGACGCTCTGTTCCCTCTGGTTTTACTATTTGTAGTAAGGGGTCACAAGCTGGAGCTGGCCGCCAGGCCTCAAAGCAAACGGGACAGTAAATTTGGACGTGGTCTGTGATGTACTGAGGTGCCAGTTCATTTAAGGCCTTAAAAACAAACAATTATTTAAAATAGATTCTAAAGTTAACAGGGAGCCAGTGCAAAGATGCAAGGATTGGGGTGATGTGTTCACGTTTTTGGTGCCTGTTAAAAGGCGTGCCTGCAGCGTCCTGGAATAATTGCGCGCAGGAAAGTGCTTTGTGGCTGATGCCCGAATAAAGTGCATTGCAGTAGTTCAGACGACTTAAAAGAAATGCATAAACGACTTAAAAGATCAAAGATAAAAATGACTCTAATTTGGATAAAATACATATTTAGTAACTTAGGAGATCCTCCAAGAATGATTATGGAAATGGGCAGAAATATAAAAAGCACAAAAGAACATCCATCTTTTACCTTTGTCATCGGTGAACTACTCCAGGATGACAGAAACAGATTGTCAAAAGAATGGCTGCTGGCTGTAGAAAGGCCTAACATGTTATAATTTCTTGTTTTTTTGTTTTTTTTATAAGAAGGCTTTCTTATTTTTTGATACTTTTCTTATGACGTTCAGCTCAATGTAAACTTTATGCTGGGACAGTTTTAGGCTTCTCAAATGTTGCTGTTTTTCCATCCAATATGGGTAAACAAAGTCAGTGTATATATTAAAAAAAAAAACAACAGGCACCAAAAACAACAAATCTGGTTGACGACAAAGTAGATAAAACCAAAAGGACCAAAACATCTTTAAAAAAAACTGAATGGAAAACTCTTGAGCTGTGCTTTAAAAAAAACGGGTTCAGTCATACATTGTGGATCAAGTGGAAGCTGATTCTAGAATTGAGGTTTGACTGCAGAAAAATATTGGGCAGTGTACTACTTTGTAGGGGGAACCACAAGTATTTGTTAAATGACCTTAAGGACCTGGTGGAAATAGAAATGATAAACTAGGGGAGGGGGTAAGGTGGTTAAAGCTTTAAAAACAAAAGTTTAGAGTTCTGCAGCATCAACTTAAGGAGCGATGTACAACTAGCAATAAACAACGGAGCTATCTTTAAAACACAACAAATCATCAGAATTTTTCAGCTACAACTCAAACATAAAAAAAAAAATTTATTGTAAGAAAAATGTTTCATATGAAATTTGACCAGATTTTAGGCCCAAAGTTCTATCAATCCTTCCAGTCTGGGTTTTTCTGTTTTCTGCTTCAGACAGCTTTTCTTTTTCAGTCTCAAGGGTGAGAGTATTCTTTCAAACTGCGGATTAAATTACCTGAACTATTGCAGAGAGTTTTAAACTGCTGTATAAACTGGTCCAGTAGTCGGATAGGATGTTTTAGCATTTCCAGTCAGAAGATTTTCTCTGACAGCTTATTTTTTGTCAGCCACCCTCCATCATGGTGAGGCTTTTCTAGTCTGGGTTTAGTTCTGTTTGCCTGCTGTGATGAACAGTTTCTTTAAAAAAAAAAAAAGATTTTATTTGGATCCTAAATCAGCTCTATAGAAAATGGCTAACTCCTAAAATTTTGATTTCATGACTGGTGTAATCAACTCTCAGTAAGTTTACTATGAGTCCTGTGCTTGTGCACAAACTATAAAAAGCCATCATTAATGGAACCCCCTTGCAAGGAGTCACACCATTTCACACCATCTCGGAGACTTTGATGCTATGAAAGGTGCTGCCCTTACATTTCAGGGGGAAAAAGAGAGAGTGGCAAATGGCCTGTACTTGTATAGCACTTTTTCAAGTCAGAGGACTTGACTTAAGCACTTTACATTACATTTACCCATTCACGCATACACTGATGGTGACAAGCTACATTGTAGCCACAGCTGCCCTGGGGCTCACTGACAGAAGCGGGCTGCCATACACAACACTGGGCCCTCTGACCACCATCAGTTGGCAATGCGGTTGAAGTGTCTTGCCCAAGGACAAAAAACTGAAAGCTGGAGCCGGGCCCTGAACCGACAACCTTCTGTTTGTAAGGCAGCTCCTACAGCTTTTAGGTGTTTTACTTTTTTCTGTTTTAGTCACATATACACAGGAGTTATTAATTGATAAACCCCAAAAAAATCCAATAAAATTAAAAAGAAGAAAACTGATTGTTTTTCTCATGTCTGTATTTACTTGCACTTTGCATATTTAGACAAGCATTTATTTTCCTTTCATGCCCCCCCCTTCTTTTTTTTTTTTTTTACACATTGATGTCCCTATTAACCAAAATTGAGCATGTGCCACAATAATGAGAGCCAGTAAATTAAGAATATTTAAAAGTTTGTAATTACCCAGAGAAAGCCTAAATAATTTGGCTCTATCAAGTACACTGCTGCATTGTATCTATCTTTTTTTCTTTTCAACATGTGTCATGCCTGGATTTATGCTTTTAGAATGATAAAGGATGTAGATTAAAACAATAATGTTTAACGACTTGTAGTTTCTCTCATACGACAGCAGATGTCAGTATAATGTTGAAATCCTGAGCCTTAGATTAAATCTAAATCTTACTCCAAAAGCTATGAATTGATTTTTAAACATTTATTTACTGTGTTTTTTTCTTGTTACGATCGTCATCTGGGATCTACTGGCTGTGTCTACCCTTGCAGTGAACTGACTGGGTAAAATACCTGGTAATCTAATGCCTGAACAATTCTAGGACAGCCTCTTCATGAGAAAATATGCAGAAAAATCCACAATATGTTATTTGGATGCAAGTGTTTTCCTTTAGGCCTGGAAGAACCAAACTATATCTGATATAAAATGAATACTCACATAGTGCTAAAGGCAGTTTTTCATCATAGATTTACCAATAGGTGACTTCGAAAGGCTTAAAAAAAATCATAAATAACAATATTTTACAGTGTGAAGCACAGGTGTGGAAATATATCTATACTGGATGATTAAATGGTGCAGCTCGGAAATTAGTAGCCATAGCAGTGAAAAAAACAACAGCAAAATCTAAGCAGCATTTTAACATATACCTTAAGAACCTTGCATGATAAAAACCCCAAGCAAACTAATACATTTGTGACAGATTGACCTATGGAAAATATAGTCATTGTATCAGAAAATACTGGTCTATTTTCTGCAAAACTTTTTTTTTTTGTCCAGAACTGATAAATTGGGTATAAGCAAGGTAGCTGGTAAGAGCGGCTCACTAAATCATATTCTATCCCCAGAAACCAACCAAAACTAATGGGAAAAGTTTGCAGAAGAATGCACAATAAAGTTACACCTGACACCAGGCTCAGATTGGGAACGATTTTCGGCCCTGGCATTTTTTCATTTACACCAGCATAAAACAATAAAATATAGAGGCAAACAAGCAGTTCAAGAATATTTACATGAATACTCAGTGGTGTGTCAGCATTCACTGTGAGTCTAGGTGGCATTTGGGCAATGAAATGGAATAATGTAAACAGACTCCAAACCCCATCATACACCGCAACATATTCTTGCAAAATATTCGAACATTAATTTGCCAAATATAAAAGGAGCATCATAGTTTGGTTTAAAGAAAGAGTTTTAGTTTTATTAGAATTTAGTTTGTTGCAAGGATTTTACAGTTTGAAGAAATAGAAAATTACACCATATGCCAACCGTCATAAGGATGTGCATGACAAGGAAGGGCTATATATACTGCATGCATCAATTAGGTAGTTACTATTGTATTACTTCTTGAGCTCCTTGAGTTATTTACTGTTACAGGCCGGTATGATTTAAGAAGGGCTGGCCCTCGCACGCTGACATTAGGACCGGCCCACAGATTACCGGTCAGAGCCTGCCTGACACTGTTTATAGGAAGTTCCATAAAATACCAAAAGGTTCGAAAAATCCTAAATATGATGAAGGACATAATTAATTTGCTCATCTTGGCATTTAGCAATTTTTTTTTTCTTTTTTCTAACTGGAGAGTTATCCCATTCAATAGCAGGCAGTTAGAAAAGCAGTTAGATGCCTTTACACAGGCTGGTTAAATAGCTGATTCTCACAAAGTCTTATGACCAATATAGATAGTTTCTTTTATCATGTGCCTCAAATAAATTGCAATATGTGTTTAAAATGATAAATTGTGCAGTCAAGCTCCATGGAAACTGAATAATGTACCTTATATTTAATGTTCAAGTGTTAGACTATAATTTTCCACATTTATTTTTCAGATTTTTATGACCACTGGAGTAAATATAATGGTTTTCCAAGTGTTGAAAATGTTTTACCTTCTCAACAGTTTAGTGATCAGAGGGATTCCTGCCCTATCTGTCATCACAGGTTGACATGAAGTGCTGGTAAATATGCTTCTGATAAAATTCCAGCCTCTGGGTATGTGCCTGGCCTTGTCTACCTGTGCCTGAGCGACTGCAGGGCCGTGATTTTTATCAGTCATATTTACGAACAAATAACTTTCCTCCGTGGACCGACTGTGAGCAG